GTAACCTTTGTGAGGAACTGTGTCGAAAGCCTTCTTGCAGTCCAAAAATACGCAGTCGATCCCCCTCTCTCTCTTGTCTTACTTCTGTCACCTTGTCATAAAACTCTAGAAAGGTTTGTGACACAGGTTTTTTCCTTCCCTGAAACCGTGCTGGTTGTCAATTATACACTTGTTTCTTTCCAGGTGCCCCACCACTCTCCTCCTGATGATCTTCTCCATGACCTTGCATACTATACACGTTAGAGATACAGGTCTGTATTTTAGTGCCTCTGTCGTCTCCCTTTTTAAAAATTGGGACTACTTTTGGGCCATTTTCCATACCTCAGGGATTTTGCCAGTTTCAAATGAGTGTTGAAGATCTTTTTTAAATTTGGCTCACACAATATCTCTGCTCCCTCTTTAAGGACCCATGGAGAGATGTTGTCTGGCCCCCACCGCCTTTGAGGTGTCAAGTTCGCATAGCAGCTTCTTCACCTCCTCCTTGGTTATATGTACCCCATCCAGCACTTGCTGGTGTGCCCCCCTTTTCTGATTTCTTGGAGCCCCTATGGTTTCCACGTAAATACCTCTTTAAATCTTGTGTTGAGCTCCTGACATACCTCTCGGTCGTTTCTTGTGAATTCCCCATCACCCTTCCTCAGTCTGATTACCTGGTCCTTGACTGTTGTTTTCCTCCTGATGGGGGCTTTTACAACAGCTTCGGGTCAGTCTTTACTTTTGATGCTATGTCATTTCATATTATCTCTGAGCCTCCCTTCTTATCTGTGCATATTCTTTTTCTGGCTCTTCGGCTGATTTCTTTATTTTCCTGATTTTCTCTGTCTTCTGTACCTTTTCCATTCTCTAGTACACCTAGTTTTTGCCTCCCTACACCTTTGGGTGAACCAAGGACTCGTTCTTTTCCCTTCCCTTATTTCTGTTTCCCTTGGGAACAAACCTCTCCTCTGCCTCCTTGCATTTTGTTGCTACATAGTCCATCATTCTTGTACTGGTTTTCCTGTCAGTTCCCTTCCCACTGAATGTCTTGAAGGAAGTTCCTATACCTGAGTAGTTCCCCCTTTTGTAGTTTGGTTTTTCCCAGCCTTTCCTGCTACTCTCTCCACTTGGAGCTCAACTATGTAGTCGAAGCACAGAACCACATGTTTCACTAGCTCCCAGGGGCCTTTCATACATGATACCCTCGATGTCCGAACTACTCATGGTGAATACAAGGTCCAAACCTTGCTGGTTCATCCTCTCCTCTCTCTCTGGTAGTGTCTCTAACATGTTGATGCATGAGGTTCTCCGTACCCACATCCATCATCTTGGCTCTCCATGTTTCGGGACCCCCATGGGGCCCCCTCCAGGTTTTCCCAGTCAATCTCCTTGTGATTGAAATCACCCATAAACTAGTAACTTTGCTCCCCCCATGTGTTGCTCTCCTGGCCACCTCGGCTAGTGTGTTGATCATTGCTCTGTTGCTCTCATCGTATTCTTCTCTTGGCCCCTGCAGTTCTGTGGTGGGTTGTACATTACTGCAATTATCACCTTATGTCCCTCAGACTGGATTGTTCCTACTAAGTAGTCCCTTTCGCCCATGCCATCCATTCCTTCCATTTTCTCAAACCCACTGGTTTTTAATGAGCAGTGCAACTCCTCCCCCCCCCCTCCCCCTCCCTCTGTCTTTCCTGAAGTTTTGATATCCGGAGGGAAAGATTGAATCTGTTATTTGGTGGGGTTTTGTTTCTGTGAGTGCTATTATGTCTGGGGATGTCTCTTTGATTCTTTCGTGCCATCCTCATATTTGTTTGTTATTCCATCTGCATTTGTTTTACCACACCTTCAACTTCTTTCTAAGACTGTGGTCTGGGAAGTATATTGGGGTTGGGAAGTGGGAGCCCCTGGTAAGGAACTATGGGTTGTTGCTGTGGGGGTGAAGTTTGTAATGTAGTGGGTGGGGGCTTTGGGGATGTGGCATGGGTTTTTTGATTTAGAGTGTTTGGTTGCCACTGGGGTTGACCTGGTTGGGAGGCTTCTATAGAAAGTTGTGAGGGAGGCTGTATTTAGATCTTCTTCCTGGGTCTGGGATCTCCTGTCTGTCTTCTCCATCCCCTCTCTTTCCTCCTTTCGCCTTTGTACCATCTCTCTCAGTTTCTTCCTTTCTCTTGTTTCTGTCGCGGTCGAGATACACCCTCCTGTATGCCGTCATGTCCCTTAATCGTGCTTTCTCCTGCAGTATCCTGGTCCGAGTCGCTTCTGCCTTGAAGGTCACTCTCACTGGCCGGGTTCTTTTTTTTACAAACCCCCCTATTCCCCCGAAAATTTTCCAGCTGGGTATATCGTCTTCTCCTATTGCTTCATGATGCTTTCAATTGCTTTTTTTTCCCCTTGTTTTCTTGCTTCATATGTTTCCCCTTCGACTTCCTGGAGCCCCTACACAAAGACTGACCTCACCCTTTCATTTCCCCACTGCTTTTCCCTGTGTATCCCCTCATTTAATTTGGTTTCCTCCACTGCAGCTTTCCTTTCATCAGTTTCACTGGCTAATGTACTTGGGCTCAGTGGCCTGTCATTTTTCCCTTTTCGGCTTTCCTTTGGGCTCTGTTGTTGTCCCGTTAGGGCCTCCACATAAAGCTTAGCTCTTTCATTTTTTCTACAGTCTCCTCTGATAGAGCATCTCCCTGGGAGTTTGCCCCTTCTTTCCCTACAGTCCCCTTATTTGTGGCTGAGGTAGCAGTCTCCGTTGTCAATCCCAAAATGTTCTTTAGTTCTTTAGGCTGTTTCAGATTTTCAGTTCCTCTTCTAAACTTGTATCCTAGCTTCTGCTGCTTTGACATGCACCTCCCACTTCCTGCTTTCCATTCTATCCTCTCTTCCATTCTCATGCTAAGTTCTTCTAGTTTCTTTTCCCCTTCATGATCCCTTTTTATGAGCTCTGCTGCCCAATCTTCCTTTGCATTTTCCTCCTCCTGTCCCTTGGTTTTTCTTGTTGCTCTCTGGCAACCCATTTTTGTTTTATCCTGATTGCCTCAGAGTGGGAAACCTACGTAGTTCTGTATGTTAGGTTAGTAGTGTGTGTGTCAGAGTGTGGGGGGGGGGAAGTAGTGGAGGAACTGTGGCTATTTGGGAGCTGAGTGGGGAGGGGTGGGGAGGGTTTGGGGTGAACGGGGGAGGGGAGGGTGATCGAGGGAGGGGATGGATCAGGGGAAGTAGTGAGATGTCGGTGGTGAGGGGGGAGTGTGTGTGTGTCTGGATATGTGTACTCACCTATTTGTACTCACCTATTTGTGGTTGCAGGGGTCGAGTCATAGCTCCTGGCCCCGCCTCTTCACTGATTGCTACTAGGTCCTCTCTCTCCCTGCTCCATGAGCTTTATCATACCTCGCCTTAAAACTATGTATGGTTCCCGCCTCCACTACTTCACTTTCTAGACTATTCCACGACTTGACTACTCTATGACTGAAGAAATACTTCCTAACATCCCTTTGATTCATCTGAGTCTTCAACTTCCAATTGTGACCTCTTGTGTCTGTGTCCCATCTCTGGAACATCCTGTCTTTGTCCACCGTGTCTATTCTGCGCAGTATTTTATATTGGGCGTTATCATGTCCCCCCTGACCCTCCTGGCCTCCAGTGTCGTCAGGCCGATTTCCCTTAATCTTTCTCATAGGACATTCCCCCTTTGCTCTGGAACTAACCTTGTTGCAAACCCCTTTTTACTTTCTCTAGTTTCTTGACGTGCTTTATCAAGTGCGGGTTCCAAAAAGGTGCTGCATACTCCAGTATGGGCCTGACAAAACACGGTGTACAGTGTCTTGAATGATTCCTTACTAAGGGGTCGGAATGCTGTTCTCAGGTTTGCCAGGCGCCCATATGCTGCAGCAGTTATCTGATTGATGTGTGCTTCCGGGGACATGCTCGGTGTTATACTCACCCCCAGATCTTTTTTCCTTGAGTGAGGTTTGCAGTCTTTTGGGCCCCCTAGCCTATACTCTGTCTGTGGTCTTCTGTGCCCTTCCCCTATCTTCATGACTTTGCATTTGGCAGGATTAAATTCGAGAAGCCATTTGCTGGACCAGGTGTCCAGTCTGTCCAGGTCTCTTTGAAGTCCTGCCTGGTCCTCATCAGATTTAATTCTCCTCATTAACTTCACATCATCTGCAAACAGGGACACTTCTGTGTGTGTGTGTTTGTGTGTGTGTGTGTAATTATGTGTCGAATTATGTGTGGGTTTATTATGTGTCTGAAAGTAGGTGGCTTGTGCTTGGAGTGTAATGTGGATTTCTCAGTTGTCCTTGTGTCCACAACCTAGTGACCTGACTCCCTTGCAGTGTTGCCTATATCACCTGCTTATAGTGAGTTAAAACGCCTTGTTCAATGGATTACCATTTGCTAAACCTTATTGAATACTTGAGTGCCTATTCTTTATCGTGCTATGAGAGTTAGACCATTCACATTCAGCTTGGCGGTTAAATTGGAACCTGGACCCCCACACCCAAACAACACTCATAGGTGATACAGTACTTGTAGTGCAGCTGTAGCAGTGTAGATTTCCAGGGTCCCATGTGACGTCCTGGAGTAGATCCAGCTCGATGTACGTCCTGGCTAGACCACCTCAATTTCTTCTCGTTAATAATGTACCCTATTCACTGTATTTCTTTCCACTGGTCACACTATTGTTTCACTTTATTAAAATCTTGGGTGACACTTGGCAACGCCGCCTTCACACTAGCCTGCGCCACAACGCTTTTATTTTCCAGATCACTTTCAAAATTGTGGCTCTCCCCACACTTGTGTGGCTCAGGCAATTAAAAAAAACACTTCTAGGATTGTTGACTACCCTGACACACTTAGCAACCCTTGCAGAACACCTGTAGCCCTCAAAAACACTTAAATCCCCGGAGCACCGACGGCGTGACTAGCCCGCTCGCTGTCCCTACTGTGTGTGTGTGTGTGTGTGTGTGTGTGTGTGTGTGTGTGTGTGTGTGTGTACACCCCCTTCCAAAAGTATAATCACGTACGTCGGAAGTAGCCATGAAGTCTGAGTTGGCAACGGTGAAGGCAGCTGTCTTGTTGTTGCTCTCAGGATTATACCCCACAACTCTCTGTGGAAACAATCAGTCACGTTTCGCGTTACTGTTGCGATTTAATAGCTATAGTTTTGAACTGCCATTCACATTAGCAAGTATATACAGGAATCTTTAATAATGAATTAGTATATTTAATTTAAACGGAATTAAATCTAAATATTTTTGTTTCATTTTCTGGTGTAGCTCCTGTATGAATTGTATTATACAATATTTTATTATATTTCGTGATTAATCTAATATAAACTCTACTTAAAATTCGAGATGGTAAATTGTGCTCTCTCACATATACTGCTGCACGACTACCATCATTACTACTACTAATACCACTACCACCACTAAATAATAATAATAATAATAATAATAATAATAATAATAATGCAGCCTCATACTCACAGTTTCCTCCTCCGAGTCCTCTGAACTCCGACTGAAGCACTTTTTAATTGCCTTCCTCCTGCAAGGAGAGATAAATGTCATTGGCTGTCTCTCTGCTATTGTGGCACTCTGTTTTACATTGTGTGCAACACTTCATGTAAGGTGTTATCACTTTTGGAATGAGCATAATGTATGCAAGAGTGTCAGTGTCGGTATGTCATCGGGAAATGTCCTTGTGGCAGAGGATATAAGGATGGTTTCTCTGGTGTTGACTGTGGGACGTGCAGTGTGATAAAGCTTTAGATAAGATTTAATACGGCTTAGTCCTGCCTTTGTCATGATTTAATATACATTAAATCACGACAAAGGGATCTCCGTCTCCGACAGATACCTTGAATTAGGGTAATTAATGTTTGGCTCTTGATAAAAGGGAGAGGCGGAAGCACGTTTCTTGACATAATAATTACAAAATAACAATTCTCCTTTATTTATCTGTAGATGACGCTTTGTGTAGTTCGTTCTCTATATTCACCTGGTGTTGATTTCATGTCCCTTTTTTAACCGATCTACACCGGGTTTATGGCTTCATGAAAGACACTGCCCATGGACTTGGTCACGAACCGGGCCGCTGGGGGCGATGACCCCCAACACCCTCCAGGTATACTCACGAGCTGATGAGTTTCTGGGCGAGGAGGAGGGCAGCCAAGATGACGATGAGCACTACACTGCTGACTGACGTGGGTAGTGGCTGGTACGTCACGCTGTCAACGCCAACATTCTCATTTTAATAATAGTGGATATAAGACACAGTGGTCTACTGCTCACTGTAACGAAGAAACAACAGATGCAGAGCAAGATTTGTTGTTGTAACATTTTGCTCTACAGTTTCATCTAGTCAGTTCCTTGATAAAGCTCTTAAGAAAGCGAAACGTTTCCAAGACATCTTGTTCTGCACCTGTCTTTTCTTTAATACTGTATACACCCACAGTGTGCTGCTACCGTATTCTATGTGATAGTTATAGTGTGGGGACAGAAAATAGCAATTTTTCCCTGTCGTATTCCATTACGCAGAATGGGTAGCATACATGGGCAATGAAATCTATGAAAAAAGGGGAAGAGATGAGAGAATTAGTTGTGTGTGTCATAAAAGGGGTTAAGCAAATGGATTAGCAATGGGAGGCGCTGGATGGTAAGCGGAAGATAATAAGGTGTTTGTTAGAAGACATTCTGGGTCGTCTGTTTGAAAAATAAGAGGAAGAGGAGTATGAACTTGGTAATGAGTCACTGGGGTAGTAGTGGTTTTTTTTAATAACTCTTACATTATTGTAGAACTTAACTGTAGTACAAATATTGCCATACATCTTTACTTCACATACACACAAAAAAAAATGATTATCTGCCTTAACATTAAATTTCTCTAGGGAAGATAAGAATATCACTTGTATATCAACTAACTCATCAGAAATGTATACTGATCATGTCAAATATATCCAGGGGAAAGTGAAAGGTATTTCGATTTCTGAAATGCGTTTCAATCATAATTAGAAATGCGAATTACATACACATGAACGCTTGCGCAACACATATTCACACACACCAGTCATACCTTTACTCAGATTAAAGAAAATAACTGACGTAAACATAATATACTTCAATTTTAGCCCTTTTTCTGCATTGGTTACAAATCACCTGAGGTGATTTGTAACCAATAATCTTTGGGTAGACGGTATAAATATTAAGGGCTACATCATCTCACCCTGATGCAAACACTAATTACTGTGGAAATAACCACACAAATTCACAGTTTCAATAACCCTACACAGGTGTTGTGTTGTATCACTGCTTGTAAGCGAAGGTGACGCAGTCAGTACAACTCACTGCCCCATGGACGCATGGTCTCTCCAGGGAGTCAGTATCGATTCATCATATTCACAAGTCCTCCGTAGTAGGTACCCTAATAATAATATAATATCTTTATTTACTACAAGTACATGTACAAGATATACAGGCCTAGCTGACATCAATGACATACTACTATACAGAAAGCCCCTTGTTATGCTGAGCATTTCGGGCAAATTAAGTCAGTTTTATCCCAGGATGCGACCCACACCAGTCGACTAACACCCAGGTACCTATTTTAAACTAATGAGTGAAAAGGGACAGGGACAGCAGGTGTCTTATGGAAACAGGTCCCTAATGTTTACCAGCCGTACCGGAGGATATTCAAACCCCCGGACCTCAGCGTGTGAACTGAGTGCGCTAGCGATCGAGCTACGGGACACCTTCCCGGTTGCTAGTATCTAAACAACGCTCAGAATAAGATGCAGAAAATCTTAGTAATTTTTTGCTCAGTTCCACTGCCACCTACACCTCCCCTACTCCAGTACTTACCACAATTCTCTGTAGACGAAACCATCCTTACACTTACAGAAGCCGTTGGAACACACCCAGTGTTCATTGCACTCTAAAGTGTCGTTGCACTGTGATCCCAGAGTGCCTGTGGGAGAGACGAGGTCATCTTAGGTCACACACGCACACATCTCCAGAAGTCAAGAAAGTAGCCTCACAGAAAACAGTAGGAGACAGAAGAATCAGAACGTAGCCAGCAAATGTAAAGTCATGATATTATGGTTATTACAGAGGCGAACCTCTCAGTAATAATAACTTATGTGAAATAGAAGAAGCTCGATCATTCGGCCGTGTGGGTTAGTGCAAAGCCTGGTGGAGGCTCGATCCTCCATCCCTGTGAGTCATTTAGCTAAGGAAATGAAAGTTTGATTTTCCGTCCAGGCCTCCTGGTGGATCAGAGCCTGATCAACCAGGCTGTTGCTGCTGGCTGCACGCAAACCAACGTACGAGCCACAGCCCGGCTGATCAGGAACTGACTTTAGGTGCTTGTCCAGTGCTTGTGTGTGTACTCACCTATTTGTGGTTGCAGGGGTCGAGTCCTAGCTCCTGGCCCCGCCTCTTCACCGGTTGCTACTAGGCCCTCTCTCTCCCTGCTCCATGAGCTTTATCAAACCTCGTCTTAAAACTGTGTATGGTTCCTGCCTCCACTACGTCATTTTCTAGGCTATTCCGCGGCCTTACAACTCTATGACTGAAGAAATACTTCCTACTATCTCTCTGACTCATTTGTGTCTTCAACTTCCAATTGTGGCCTCTTGTTTTTGTGTCCCCTCCCTGGAACATCCTGTCTTTGTCCCCTTGTCTATTCCACGCAGTATTTTATATGTCGTTTATCATGTCTCCCCTGACCCTCCTGTCCTCCAGTGTCGTCAGGCCGATTTCCCTTAATCTTTCTTCATAGGACATTCCCCTTAGCTCTGGAACTAACCTCGTCGCAAACCTTTGTACTTTCTCTAGTTTCTTGACGTGCTTTATCAAGTGCGGGTTCCAAACAGGTGCTGCATACTCCAGTATGGCCTGACATACACGGTGTACAGTGTCTTGAATGATTCCTTACTAAGGTATCGAATGCTGTTCTCAGGTTTGCCAGGCGCCATATGCTGCAGCAGTTATCTGATTGATGTGTGCTTCCGGAGACATGCTCGGTGTTATACTCACCCCAAGATCTTTCTCCTTGAGTGAGGTTTGCAGTCTTGGCCACCTAGCCTATACTCTGTCTGTGGTCTTCTGTGCCCTTCCCCTATCTTCATGACTTTGCATTTGGCAGGATAAATTCGAGAAGCCATTTGCTGGACCAGGTGTCCAGTCTGTCCAGGTCTCTTTGAAGTCCTGCCTGGTCCTCATCAGATTTAATTCTCCTCATTAACTTCACATCATCTGCAAACAGGGACACTTCTGAGTCTAACCCTTCCGTCATGTCGTTCACATATACCAAAAATAGCACTGGTCCTAGGACCGACCCCTGTGGACCCCGCTCGTCACAGGTGCCCACTGTGATACATCATTACGTACCATGACTCGTTGTTGCCTCCCTGTCAGGTATTCTCTGATCCATTGCAGTGCCCTTCCTGTTATATGCGCCTGATGCTCTAGCTTCTGCACTAATCTCTTGTGAGGAACTGTGTCAAAGGCCTTCTTGCAGTCCAAGAAGAATGCAATCAACCCACCCCTCTCTCTCTTGTCTTACTTCTGTTATTTTATCATAAAACTCCAGAAGGTTTGTGACACAGGATTTGCCATTCCGTGAATCCGTGCTGGTTGGCATTTATACTCCTGTTCCGTTCCAGGTGCTCCACCACTCTCCTCCTGATAATCTTCTCCATAATTTTGCATACTATACACGTCAATGACACAGGTCTATAGTTTAGTGCCTCTTTTCTGTCTCCTTTTTTAAAAATGGGAACTACATTTGCCGTCTTCCATACCTCAGGTAGTTGCCCAGTTTCCAGGGATGTTTGAAGATTGTGGTAAGTGGCACGCACAACATATCTGCTCCCTCTCTAAGGACCCACGGGGAGATGTTGTCCGGTCCCATTGCCTTTGAGGTATGGATGTCCCTTAGCAGTTTCTTCACCTCCTCCTCATCTGTATGTATGTCGTCCAACACTTGTTGGTGTATTCCTTGCTGGTGTCCCCATCTGGTCTGTCCCCCCAGAGTCCTTCCTGTCTCTACTGTAAATACTTCCTTAAATCTAGTGTTGAGCTCCTCACATACCTCTTGATCGTTTCTGTGAGTTCTCCACCTTCTTTCCTCAGCCTTATCACCTGGTCCTTGACTGTTGTCTTCCTCCTAATGTGGTTATATACAGCAGTTTCGGGTCAGATTTGACTTTTGATGCTATGTCGTTTTCATACTGTCGCTGGGCCTCCCTCCTTATCTGTGCATACTCGTTTCTGGCTCTTCTACTAATCTCCTTGTTTTCCTGGGTCCTATGCCTCCTGTACCTTTTTCCCATTCTCTTTGCACTTAGTTTTTGCCTCCCTACACCTTCGGGTAAACCAAGGACTCGTTTTGGTCTTCCTATTATTTCTGTTTCCCTTGGGAACAAAACTTTCCTCTGCCTCCTTGCACTTTGTTGCCACATATTCCATCATCTCGTTTACCGATTTTCCTACCATTTCTCTGTCCCACTGAACCTCCTGCAGGAAGTTTCTCATACCTGTGTAGTCCCCCCTTTTATAGTTTGGCCTGTCCCCTTCAGTTCCTGTTACCTTCTCCACTTGTAACTCTACTATATAGTCAAAACTCAGAACCACATGATCGCTAGCTCCAAGGGCCTCTCGTAAGTGATGTCCTCAATGTCTGAACTGCTCAGGGTGAACACAAGATCCAGTCTTGCTGGCTCATCCTCCCCTCTCTCTCTGGTTGTGTCCCTGACATGTTGATGCATGAGGTTTTCAAGTACCACATCCATCATCTTGGCTCTCCATGTTTCGGGACCCCCATGTGGCTCCAGGTTTCCCAGTCGATCTCCCTGTGGTTGAAATCGCCCATTACCAGTAACTTTGCTCTGCTCGAGTGAGCTCTTCTTGCCACCTCAGCCAGTGTGTCCACCATCACCCTGTTGTTTTCTTCGTACTCCTCTCTTGGCCTCCTGCAGTTCTGTGGTGGGTTATACATCACTCCAATGACTACTTTATGTTCTCCGGACTGAATTGCAACTACAATGTAGTCTCTTTCTCCAATCATGTCCATGCCTTCCATTTCCTCAAATCCCCGTCGGTGTTTTATGAGCAGTGCAACCCCTCCTCCCCCTCTACTCCTTCTATCTTTCCTCAGGATCTGATATCCTGTTGGGAAGATTGTGTCTGTTATTGTCTCAGCGAGTTTTGTTTCTGTGACTGCTATGATGTCTGGGGATTTTTCACTGATTGTTTCATTCCACTCCTCATGTTTATTAGTTATTCCATCCGCATTTGTGTACCAAACCTTTAGTTTCTTTTCTATCATTGTGGTTATGCAAGTATATTGGGGTTGGGGAGCGAGAGCCTTGGTGGGGGCCTATATGGGGCTGTGGTGTAGGTGGGGTTTGTGTTGATGCGGGTGGGGTCAGAATGCCCATAAGGGACAGCTGTTGGGGTGAGGTTTGTGATATGGGGGTTGGTGGCAGAGGGAACAGTGAGTGGGTTGTAGTATAGGTTGCTCAGTTGCGTTGGGAATGTCGCGGGTGGAGTCTTTTGGTGGGAGATTCTGTGGGGGTGTTTGCCCTTCCTCCTGTGTCTGGGTCCTGCTCATTTTCATTGCTTCTCGTTCCTCCTTGCATCTCTGTACCCTCTCTTTCAGTGTAGTCCTTTCTTCTTGTGTTCTGTCGCGGTCGAGGTATACTCTCTGGTACCCCTCTTTGTCCCTCAGTCTTGCTTTCTCTTGCAGAATCCTGGTTCGAACTGATTCTTCCTTGAAAGTTACTCTGACAGGCCTTATCCTTCCACTCGCAAACCACCCAATTCTCTGAAAATTTGTCACCTGGGTCATATTGCCCTCCCCTATTGTTTTCATGATGCCTTCAATCATTTTTTTTCTCCTGTTTTATTTCTTCAAAGTTGGCCCCCTTGGCTTCTTGGAGCCCGTACACAAAAACTGACCTCGCCCTTTCCTCCTCCACTGAGTCTCCATCTGCTTCCTCTGAGGCATTTTATTACTTTCCATTGACATGTTCTTGCCTTCAGTCCCTGTCATATCTGAAACTTCTATTCTCAGTGAACTGTCTTTCCTGACCAGCTGTCCCTTGCTACTGCAGTTGGCTGTTAGAATCTCTGCATATAGCATACCTTCATTGTCTTCGGACCTGTCGTTTGATCTTAGTGTGCTCATCGTCTTTTCCCTAGCCCCACGTGGGTCTGATAGGGCCTTCGTGTACGGCATGTCTCCGTTGTTGCTTACCATCCCCTTGTCTGCGCCTGACTTTGAATTTCCTGATGTCACATCTGAATTGTCATTTGTCTCTCTAATCTGTTTCAGGCTTTGCAGTTTCTCTTCTAAGCACTGTATCCTAGCTTCTGCTGCTAAGACCTGTACTTCCCACTTCCTGCACTCTTCAGCTATCCGCTCCTCCATTTTCTTATCAAGCTCTACTATCTTCCTTCCCCACTCTTCCTCCCTTTTTTGGAGGTCTAACTCCCAGTCTTTCCTCCCTGGTTCGTCTTCCAGATCTCTGGTTTTCCGTCCTCTAAGGCCACCCATTTTTTTTTTTTTCTTTTTATTACCACAGACAGAAGGCTAGAGGAGGGAGAGGGTGTGGGGGGGAGAGAGAAAGGGTAGAAAGAGGGAGAGAGAGGAGAGAGAAAGGGTAGAAAGAGGGAGAGAGAGGAGAGAGTATGGGGGTGAGGGATAAGACCAAGGGGAGAGAGAGAAATGTGAGGGGGGAGAGAAAGGGTAGAGAGAGGGAGAAAGAGAGGGAGAGGGAGAGAAAGAGAGAGAGAGGGAGAAAGGAGGGCGAGGGAAAAGGCTATGAGAGAGAGAAATGGAGAGATGGAGAGAGAAGCCTATAGAGAGAGAGGAGGGTGAGAGATTGGGTTATGGGAGTGAGGGAGAGAGAGAGAGAGGGAGAGAGGGAGAGAGAGAGAGAGAGAGAGAGAGAGGGAGAGAGAGAGGGAGAGAGAGGGAGAGAGAGAGGGGGAGAGAGAGGGAGAGAGAGAGGGGAGAGAGAGAGGGAGAGAGAGAGGGAGAGGGAGAGAGAGAGAGGGAGAGAGAGAGGGAGAGAGGGAGAGAGAGAGGGAGAGAGAGAGGGGAGAGAGAGGGAGAGAGAGAGGGAGAGAGAGAGGGAGAGAGAGAGGGAGAGAGAGAGGGAGAGAGAGAGGGTGTGTGTGTGTGTACTCACCTAATTGTACTCACCTAATTGTGGTTGCAGGGGTCGAGACTCAGCTCCTGGCCCCGCCTCTTCACTGATCGCTACTGGATCCTCTCTCTCTCTGCTTCCTGAGCTTTGTCATACCTCTTCTTAAAACTATGTATGGTTCCTGCCTCCACTACTTCACTTGCTAGGCTATTCCACTTGCTGACAACTCTATGACTGAAGAAATACTTCCTAACGTCCCTGTGACTCGTCTGAGTCTTCAGCTTCCAGTTGTGACCCCTTGTCCCTGTGTCCCCTCTCTGGAACATCCATCTCTGTCCACCTTGTCTATTCCCCGCAGTATCTTGTATGTCGTTATCATGTTTCCCCTGACCCTTCTGTCCTCCAGTGTCGTCAGTCCGATTTCCCTTAACCTTTCCTCGTACGACATTCCCTTGAGCTCTGGGACTAGCCTTGTTGCAAACCTTTGTACTTTCTCTAACTTCTTGACGTGCTTGACCAGGTGTGGGTTCCAGACTGGTGCTGCATACTCCAGTATGGGCCTAACATACACAGTGTACAGTGTCTTGAACGATTCCTTATTAAGGTATCGGAACGCTATTCTCAGGTTTGCCAGGCGCCCGTATGCTGCAGCGGTTATTTGGTTGATGTGTGCCTCCGGTGATGTGCTCGTGTTTATGGTCACCCCAAGGTCTTTCTCCCTGAGTGAGGTCTGTAGTCTTTGTCCACCTAGCCTATATTCTGTCTGCGGTCTTCTTTGCCCCTCCCCAATCTTCATGACTTTGCATTTGGCTGGATTGAATTCGAGAAGCCAGTTACTGGACCACATGTCCAGCCTCTCCAGGTCTCTTTGCAGTCCTGCCTCATCCTCGTCCGATTTAATTCTTCTCATCAACTTTACGTCATCTGCGAACAGGGACACTTCAGAGTCTATTCCTTCCATCATGTCGTCCACATATATCAAAAATAGCACTGGTCCTAGAACTGACCCCTGTGGGACCCCGCTCGTAACAGGCGCCCACTGTGATACCTCTTCACGTACCATGACTCGTTGCTGCCTCCCTGTCAGGTATTCCCTTATCCATTGCAGTGCCCTTCCTTTTACGTGTGCCTGATCCTCCAGCTTCTGCACTAATCTCTTGTGGGGAACTGTGTCAAAGGCCTTCCTGCAGTCTAGGAAAACGCAATCTACCCAACCCTCTCTCTCATGTCTTACTTCTGTTACCTTGTCATAAAACTCCAGGAGGTTTGTGATACAAGATTTGCCTTCCATGAACCCATGCTGATTTTTCATTTATAATCTTGTTCCTTTCCAGGTGTTCGACCACTCTCCTCCTGATAATCTTCTCCATGACTTTGCACACAATACATGTCAGAGACACAGGTCTGTAGTTTTAGTGCCTCGTTTCTGTTTCCTTTCTTAAATGTGTGTGTGTGTGTGTGTGTGTGTGGTGTGTGTGTGTGTGTTTGTGTGTGTGTTTGTGTGTGCGTGTGTATGTGTATGAGTGTGTGTGTGTATGAGTGGGTGTGTGTGTGTACTCACCTATTTGTGGTTTGCAGGGGTCGAGTCTTAGCTCCTGGCCCCGCCCTTCAACCGGTTGCTCTTCACCGGTATGAGTGTGTGTGCGTGTGTGTGTATGAGTTTGTGTATGGTGTGTGTGTGTGTGTGTGTGTTTATGTGTGTGTGTGTGTGTGTGTGTGTGTGTGTTTTTGTGTGGTGTGTGTGTGTGTGTGTGTGTGTGTGTGTGTGTGTGTGTGTGTGTGTGTGTGTGTGTGTGTGTGTGCGTGTGTGTGAATTTGTATATGTGTGTGTGTGTGAATTTGTATATGTGTGTGTGTATGTGTGTGTGTGTGTGTGTGTGTGTGTGTGTGTGTGTTGTGTGTGTGTGTGTGTGTGTGTGTGTGTGTGTGTGTGACTCAACAATCAATATTTGCACCAATAACTCACTACAGTTGTGACGGGTGTGAAGTGTGAATTGCTCATTACACTATAATTTGTTCATGATTGTAGCCATGTATAAACGTAAGTAACCATTCTTACAGGATTCATTACCTTTGTAACTTGTGAGTTCATTACCTTGTACTAGTTCAGCCATCCAAACTTTGGGGCCCAGTCCCTGGATCCATTACGTACCTCTGTAATCTGTAAATACCTTTGTAACTTGTCATGATTGTGACTAGACCTACCCGGAGTTCATTACCTTTGTAATTTGTGAGTTCATTACCTTTGTAGATTGTGAATTCATTACCTCTGTAACTTGCTCAGCTATCAAAACTTTGGAGTCCAGTCCCTGGACCAATTATGTACCTCTGTAATCTTTTGACTACCGCCCACAGGATGGGTATGGGGTGCATAATAAACATATTAAACTAACTAACCGTCCACGTGGGTTGTTTAGAACAAGGGATAGTGATGGCTAGATCCTCCATCCGCGTGGGTCATTCAGTGCTAGGAATGGTGGAGGCTAGATCCTTCGTCCGCTAATTACATGACACGGTGCCTAATATACATTTGTAAGTAATTACGTAAACATCGGTTATGTTACAGTGACATACTTAACAGGGTGCTGAAAGTACCCCAGAATAATAAGAGATAAGATTTCGTTCGGATTTTTAACCCCGCAGGGTTAGCCACCCAGGATAACCCAAGAAAGTCAGTGCGTCATCGAGGACTGTCTGTCTAATTTCCACTGGGGTCCTCAATCTTATCCCCTAGGATGCGACCCACACCAGTCGACTAACACCTAGGTACCTACTTGCTGCTAGGTGAACAGGACAACAGGTGAAAGGAACGCGTCGAAATGTTTCTATCCCGCCGGGAATCGAACCCGGGCCCTCCGTGTGTGAAACGAGAGCTTTGCCAAACCATACCACGGGCGGGGATAGAACCCGCGATCAGAGAGTCTCAAAACTCCAGACCGTCGCGTTAGCCACTGGACCAGCTAGCCACAATAAGTGGCTAACGCGACGGTCTGGAGTTTTGAGACTCTCTGACCGCGGGTTCTATCCCACCCGTGGTATGGTTTGTTTGCAATCGTGTCATTACGATTTCGTGAGTCAGAGCTTTGCCAGCCAGGCTAATAATATCAAGTGCTTTGAAGAGAGAAGCAGGACAGAAGAAGAGAACTGAACGGAGGGGAAGCAAGAACGACTCACCACAGTCGCCGCAGTAGTAGAGGTATTCACTACTACTGAGAGTGTAGATAACGCAGGTTCCTTCAGGACAACGACAACTGAACGAGACACACTGTGGGAGGGGCGCCGCCCACTGCCAGCCATCACAGTCACTATCACCATCACACACCACGTCTGGGATATTCTGTCCTGTAGGGAAGAAAAGGAGCATCAGTGACAAGGCAGGGCCAGTGGAGGAAAGAATACGAAGACACGAGAGACAAAGAAGTTGCGTAGAAAGGCGAAGAAAAAAGAGAGGGGACGTAGAGCAGGGAAATGCGCAGATTTTGTTATGGCTCGGTCCGCAGGGGCGTTGATCCCCGAAACACCATCTAGGTATATTCTTCCAGGTATAACTGTTAAGGTATACTCAAGGTGAACACATGCAGTGTGCGACTGTACTATTCTATATAAAAATTACATTGAGGAAATAAAATTAGCTTTGTTTTCAAGCCATATTCTTTCATGGGGAAGCCCTAAGCCCGTAAGGGTCATACGGCTCTTGGAAAATGGGAGTAATAATGTTTGATTCAAGAAAAAGTAGGAAATATGCAATTTGTTGGCTCAAAAGCACTTTACACGCTGGGGAGGGGCTCTTGATCCAGGGAATTGGATCTGCTCCGGTTCCCTGAATTAAGCCTGAATGCCTTCCATCACTCCCCCCACATACGTTGTATAATCCTACGGGTTTAGCGCTTCCCCATAATAATCTTGTGAGTGAGGGACTGAACACATCGATTCCAACCCGAGGGACTGATTACCTCAAACTCCTCTCCTTATGCCTTTCTGCTTTGTATTGGACTGATGAAGCCACTGTGTGGCGAAACGTTTCTTCAATAAAGAACATAAGAAAGGAGGAACACTGCAGCAGGCCTGTTGGTCCATACTAGGCCCATGACTCGATCCATGACAGCACTTTTCCCTCAATGCCATGAGCTGCCACTTTCTTTAACAGTCTAAAGAACATAAGAATGAAACAACATTGTAGAAAGCCTACTGGCCCATACAAGGCAGGTCCTTACCAAAACCAGTGTATAATAAACACTGAGTCTAATCAAGAGTTACTGAATGTCACTAAAAAAAATCACTGGAAACACAAAAAGAAATGTCTCAACACTCGCAAATGTCTCTATGAAAAATATTATCGCTGTAGTGGCGTTGTTGACTGAAGTGGGGTGGAGGATGGTGGTGAAGAGTAGAAGAGACTGGTGGCTGACTGCATTCGCTGCTCCTCTGCACACGTGATCGTAGAATGGCGCTTAAATCGACGATAGACTCACACAGGAGGCTTTTAACAATGGCGCTACTGACGAAAGAACACACTCTAGCTCTTGACCCCCTATGTGGTCCTTAAAATATGGTGCTAGAACCTGTAGTAAGACTACAAACAGTGATAGTGGTTTGGTGAGTGGGCTGAGGCAGGGCTGAGGCCGCGGTGGTGAGACCGTGTGGTAACTGGGCCTATGGGATGAACAGCGTAAGCCTCACTGGGGACACCCTCACTGGCGCGAAAACATTTTAATCCGGGCCGGCTTAAAACAAACCCACGAAATACCACAACACCACAGGGATGAAAAAGCACTCAGAATGGCTTGGAGCTTGAAGCACAAGCGATGAAGACTGTACCCACGTGGTTTGCTTGAGTACTGGGTTAGTCACCTGGGTTAGTTGCTGGCTGGCTTGGCTTATCTTAATCCTTCACACAGAATGGCCCGACAACTTCTAACGATGAGCACAGCAGGGGTGGAAAGCTGGTTTGGCAGGCAAAGGCTGGATGGTGTGTAAGGCTTGGGCTGGACTGGGTTGTTCCGACTCCCCCACCACAGACTGGCTTAGTAGCTTGGCTTACTTTGCAAACTCGGGTCAACCCCTTGGGAGTGATGCAAATAAGTAGACAAACACTAATACAAGGAGACTGACCAGTGAATATTGTAGAGGCTGGTAGAAGCTTGGTCGGGGTAGCTGGCTTGAGGTAGCTGGCTGGCTAGGTCAGCCTAGCGTCAGAATGTGGCGACCGGCTCAGTAGAAATTTATCTGCAGAAATCGCTGTAATCATCAGAATTACAGGCCCTCCGCTGGCACCAAATTGTCGTGTGGGGTTTGGTAGGAGAAACGAGGGTTGAAGGTAAACACCTTGTTGGATGGTAACACTATATATATTGTCAGACTGTGATGAGAGGCAGGATCCCAGGCCTGCCTTGTTCTGCCTGCTTGTAGGTGGTCCGTCGAGTGAGGACGAGGCAGCTCGTCTCACTCAAGCTGTATCCCGTGACGTCATACAATCACAGGCCTAGGGAGCTTCTTTATAAAGCACATGGATGGTACTATGATACTCAGCTAATCTATATAACACATATAAGGGGATCAGCAACTATGCTGACACCACTACCCAAAGCTACTCAAGAACTCTCGCACCCACGACACCAATCAAACTCATCCCCTCCCACTCGTATATTTGTCCAATCTCTCTTTACAGCTACCCAAGGTTCTAGCCTCGATCATAATAAGCTTTGATAATTCTATTTGCTCACGTGCAAGTCCCACTCAAATCCAACTCCCATATGTTGGAAATAAATTGTATAAAATATCGACACAATGGAAATATAAACACATATGCAGTATAATGTAATCCTTTATTGACAGCGTTTCGCCACAGTGGGCTTTTTCAAGTCACAAACAGATCTACCTGGGGTGGAAGGTACACGAGTATTTATAGTCAGGTTCAGAATGCTGTGGTCAGGTGGAGAATGCTGCATCTGATGATCTACCGAGTGGGGTTATTGAGTCTAAAATCTTGGGTAGCTTGGAAGGGAGATTGGATAAGTTTGTGAGCAGACCTTCTGCAGTGTTCTTCCATTCCTATGCTCTTATGTGGGATGCAAGCTCTGTAATTTAGGTTATAATATCCGCCACATCCTCTTTGTTTGGCATGGATGTGGATGCAAATGCAGATATTTATTTGATCGTGATTGCGGATGCGGAGGTGGATGTGGATATCTCATTTAGAAAAAAATAAGGATGAGGATGAGGATGTAAGAAATTGTGCGGATGTTTTGCGGATGCAGATACGGATATCCAATACATCCCTAATTATAACAACCAAATAATTAAGGTAGTAGTGGTGGTAATCTGTAATAGTACATCTGGAGTTTACCTGGAGTTTACCTGGAGTTCCGGGGGTCAACGCCCCCGCGGCCCGGTCTGTGACCAGGCCTCCTGGTGGATCAGAGCCTGATCAACCAGGCTGTTACTGCTGACTGCACGCAAACCAACGTACGAGCCACAGCCCGACTGGTCAGGTACCGACTTTAGGTGCTTGTCCAGTGCCAGCTTAAAGACTGCCAGGGGTCTGTTGGTAATCCCCCTTATGTATGCTGGGAGGCAGTTGAACAGTCTCGGGCCCCTGACACTTATTGTATGGTCTCTTAACGTGCTAGTGACACCCCTGCTTTTCACTGGGGGATGTTGAATCGTCTGCCAAGTCTTTTGCTTTCGTAGTGAGTGATTTTCGTGTGCAAGTTCGGTACTAGTCCCTCTAGGATTTTCCAGGTGTATATAGTCATGTATCTCTCCCGGCTGCATTCCAGGGAATACAGGTTCAGGAACCTCAAGCGCTCCCAGTAATTGAGGTGTTTTATCTCCGTTATGCGCGCCGTGAAGGTTCTCTGTACATTTTCTAGGTCAGCAATTTCACCTGCCTTGAAAGGTGCTGTTAGTGTGCAGCAATATTCCAGCCTAGATAGAACAAGTGACCTGAAGAGTGTCATCATGGGCTTGGCATCCCTAGTTTTGAAGGTTCCCTGTCATTTTTCTAGCAGATGCGATTGATACAATGTTATGGTCCTTGAAGGTGAGATCCTCCGACATGATCACTCCCAGGTCTTTGACGTTGGTGTTTCACTCTATTTTGTGGCCAGAAATTGTTTTGTATTCTGATGAAAATTTAATTTCCTCGTGTTTACCATATCTGAGTAATTGAAATTTCTCATCGTTGAACTTCATATTGTTTTCTGCAGCCCACTGAAAGATTTGGTTGATGTACTCACCTAGTTGTACTCACCTAGTTGAGGTTGCGGGGGTCGAGTCCGAGCTCCTGGCCCCGCCTCTTCACTGATCGCTACTAGGTCACTCTCCCTGAGCCTTGAGCTTTATCATACCTCTGCTTAAAACTATGTATGGATCCTGCCTCCACTACATCGCTTCCCAAACTATTCCACTTACTGACTACTCTGTGGCTGAAGAAATACTTCCTAACATCCCTGTGATTCATCTGTGTCTTCAGCTTCCAACTGTGTCCCCTTGTTACTGTGTCCAATCTCTGGAACATCCTGTCTTTGTCCACCTTGTCAATTCCTCTCAGTATTTTGTATGTCGTTATCATGTCCCCCTATCTCTCCTGTCCTCCAGTGTCGTCAGGTTGATTTCCCTTAACCTCTCCTCGTAGGACATACCTCTTAGCTCTGGGACTAGTCTTGTTGCAAACCTTTGCACTTTCTCTAGTTTCTTTACGTGCTTGGCTAGGTGTGGGTTCCAAACTGGTGCCGCATACTCCAATATGGGCCTAACGTACACGGTGTACAGGGTCCTGAATGATTCCTTATTAAGATGTCGGAATGCTGTTCTGTCTGCCTGGAGCCTTGCAGTGTCTGCAATGGAAGACACTGTCATGCAGATTCGGGTGTCATCTGCAAAGGAAGACACAGTGCTGTGGCTGACATCCTTGTCTATGTCAGATATGAGAATGAGGAACAAGATAGGAGCGAGTACTGTGCCTTGTGGAACAGAGCTTTTCACCGTAGCTGCCTCGGACTTTACTCTGTTGACTACTACTCTCTGTGTTCTGTTAGTGAGGAAATTATAGATCCATCGACCAACTTTTCCTGTTATTCCTTTAGCACGCATTTTGTGCGCTATTACGCCATGGTCACACTTGTCGAAGGCTTTTGCAAAGTCTGTATATATTACATCTGCATTCTTTTTGTCTTCTAGTGCATCTAGGACCTTGTCGTAGTGATCCATTAATTGAAACAAACAGGAGCGACCTGTTCTAAACCCATGTTGCCCTGGGTTGTATAATTGATGGGTTTCTAGATGGGTGGTGATCTTGCTTCTTAGGACCCTTTCAAAGATTTTTATGATATGGGATGTTAGTGCTATCGGTCTGTAGTTCTTTGCTATTGCTTTACTGCCCCCTTTGTGGAGTGGGGCTATGTCTGTTGTTTTTAGTAACTGTGGGACGACCCCCGTGTCCATGCTCCCTCTCCATAGGATGGTAAAAGCTCGCGATAGGGGCTTCTTGCAGTTCTTGATGAACACGGAGTTCCATGAGTCTGGCCCTGGGGCAGAGTGCATGGGCATGTCATTTATCGCCTGTTCGAAGTCATTTGGCGTCAGGATAACATCAGATAGGCTTGTGTTAACCAAATTCTGTGGCTCTCATAAAAAAATTCATTTTGATCTTCGACTCTCAGTCTGGTCAGCGGCTTGCTAAAAACTGAGTCATACTGGGACTTGAGTAGCTCACTCATTTCCTTGCTGCCATCTGTGTAGGACCCATCTTGTTTAAGTAGGGGCCCAATACTGGACGTTGTTCTCGACTTTGATTTGGTATAGGAGAAGAAATAGATTAGAAAGACACGTAAGCAAACACTAACATATTTATTAGAAAACGTTTCGGTCCTGGGACCTTGATCACTTCTAACATACAGAGGTAGAAAGACATAATATATATAGGCGGAGAGTGAGATGTGACGCACGTGACCTGAGGAATGTCATAAGAACATAAGAATGGAGGAACACTGTAGATTAGAAGTGATCAAGGTCCCAGGACCGAAACGTTTTCTAATAAATATGTTATAGTGTTTGCTTACGTGTCTTTCTAATCCAACTTGTCGGTATTTATTACCAAAGTTTATACCAGGAGAAGAAATACTTTGGGTTTCTTTCGATTTCGTTTATGGCTTTTAGTTCTTCCCGCGATTCCTGACTCCTATAAGATTCCTTTAGCTTAAGTTCGATGCTTGCTATTTCTCTGACCAGTGACTCCCTACGCATTTCAGATATATTGACCTCTTTTAGCCGCTCTGTTATTCTTTTCCGTCGCCTGTAAAGGGAGCGCCTGTCTCTTTCTATTTTACATCTACTCCTTTTTCTTAGAGGAATAAGCCTTGTGCATACATCGAGTGCCACCGAGTTAATCTTTTCTAGGCATAAGTTGGGGTCTGTGTTGCTTAGTATATCTTCCCAGCTTATATTGGTTAGGACTTGGTTTACTTGGTCCCACTTTATGTTTTTGTTATTGAAGTTGAATTTGGTGAATGCTCCCTCGTGACTAATCTCATTATGTCGGTCTAGGGCTCCGCGCATACATGTCTGAACCTCAATTATGTTGTGATCTGAGTATATTGTTTTTGATATGGTGACATTTCATATCAGATCATCATTGTTAGTGAAGATGAGGTCTAGTGTATTCTCCAGTCTAGTAGGCTCTATTATTTGCTGGTTTAAATTGAATTTTGTGCAGAGATTTAAAAGCTCGTGTGAGTGTGAGTTCTCATCAGAGCTGCCTCCTGGTGTTATTACTGCAACAACATTATTTGCTATATTCCTCCATTTTAGGTGCCTTAAGTTGAAATCCCCCAGGAGCAAGATGTTGGGTGCAGGAGCTGGCAGATTTTCCAGACAGTGGTCAATTTTTAACAGCTGTTCCTGGAATTGCTGGGACGTTGCATCCGGAGGCTTGTAGACTACCACAATGACTAGGTTTTGGTTCTCGATCTTTACTGCTAAAACTTCCACTACATCATTTGAGGCATTAAGCAGTTCTGTGCAAACAAGTGACTCTGCGATGTACAGGACAACCCCCCCTTCCCCCCCTTTTTGCCTAATAGCAAAAAGTAAACAAAATGTACAAGGTTGATCAGACTCTGATCCAACACGAGGCCTGGTCTCAGACCGGGCCGCGGGGGCGTTGACCCCCGAAACCCTCTCCAGGTATATTCCAGGTAAGGAGAGATACAGGGTCTTGAGATTCGCCATTGAGGAAGTGGCAAAACTATTGATCAGCACTTCAATTATAAGAAAACATACTTAAATTACTGAGAACTACATGGAGAATCAGACACCTTGGAGACTGAACTGACTGAAGCAGTGCTGGAGTGATTCACGAGTTAATGTAGCAGGCACATGAGAGAGATGGGGAGGGGGACGGGGAACGTTTAGTTAGTTAGTTTAATATGTTTATTATGCACCCCATACCCATCCTGTGGGCGGTAGTCAAAAGATTACAGAGGTACATAATTGGTCCAGGGACTGGACTCCAAAGTTTTGATAGCTGAGCAAGTTACAGAGGTAATGAACTCACAATTTACAAAGGTAATGAACTCACAATTTACAAAGGTAATGAACTCACAATTTACAAAGGTAATGAACTCCAGGTAAGTCTGGTCACAATCATGACAAGTTACAAAGGTATTTACAGATTACAGAGGTACGTAATGGGTCCAGGGACTGGGCCCCCAAAGTTTTGATAGCTGAACTAGGTACAAAGGTAATGAGCTCACAAGCTCACGGGGAACGAACCTGCAATACTACAGACTTGTCTCAAACAATTCTGCAAAATGTTATTATACAAAGAGCGCTTAATCAAGTGGAAGACAAAAGCCTACTGTCAGAGAGTTCTGTATCTAAACGGCAAAATCCTATATAAGTTTTTATAATAATGTTGGTAGAATTACCGACAATATGTAAAGTAAAAGGACACAAGTGCAACTAATGTGACATTTTATTGTGGCAACGTTTCGCTCTCCAGGAGCTTTGTCAAGCCGTTACAAACAGTATATGTGTGTGTATAACGTTCGCCAAGACCATAGTCCTGGCACGGGTCCCAATCTTGCGATGACCCGTCTCTGGCTCCCGATGGAGAAAGGTTTCCACAATGATGCGACGCATGCCGCTCAAGCGCCCCTCTGGTCAGTTCAACTGGTGCATCTCATAAGCGACACCATATGTAACTATGGACACTAGCGAGGAGGAGGATATGTCATTATTACAGGTAACAGCTTGTCTGGTTCGTTAACCCCATGGTACACTAGTGTGGCCGCAGTCATCTCTGGGTCCTCTTCGGGTACAAACAGGACACAGAGGGTATATAAAGGCTTAGAGTGAGGTGCAATACTAGTGAGGTACCATTTCGATGTTCACTAGTGGTAGTAGTAGTAGTAGTATGACAAAAGTTGTAGTAGTAATACAATATGGTAGAGCAATTAATTCGTACATGAGTAAAAGGATATAAAAGCTATTACTTGGGTAACATAAAAATAGGTTGGACAAATATAGACTGGATAGAGGCAGCCTGTTTCAGTGTTCACTCTCTGTAATGTGCTTAGTGTAGTATAACAGGAGAGACTATGTGATGGCAGGGTTTACTGTTTTCAGGAGGATTCTCGCTAAGACTTCAGAGATAGTGAAGCTGCCGTTGTTTTGTTTAATTGTATTCGAAACAGCGATCAGTGCTGATTCGAGGCACTTGCGTCTGCGGAAATTAGTTTCTTTGATCACTAATTGGGCGTCCCTGAATTTCATGAGATGATTGGTGGAATTTCTGTGTTGTACACAGGCGTTGTTCAAGTTATCGTTCCTACATGCGTAAATGTGTTCATTGAGACGGGTGTCGAGGTTTCTTGCTGTTTCACCTACATAAATCTTGTCACAGCCCCCACAGGGTATAGTGTAAACCCCTGCATTGACTGGTTCGTGGTGCTTTGATTTTGTCCTGGTTAGATCCTTTATTGAAGTGCTAGAAGCGATGGCGACTCTGGTGTTAGCTTGTGAAAGTACTTTAGAAACGTTCAGTGCAACCTGGCTGTTGGGAAGAATTATAACTTTGTTGGGAGTGGTGTTGGTGCGTGGAGAATTAATATACCCTCTGTGTCCATATACTGTTTGTATCGGCTTGACAAAGCTCCTGGAGAGCGAAACGTTGCCACAATAAAATGTCACATTAGTTGCACTTGTGTCCTTTTACTTTACATAAGTTTTTATGCTAATTCAGTAGTGGGGGGAGGGGGGTAAATCAACAGTGAAAAAGATGGATAGCTTGCGTTTAGTTAGATATCACACTAAATAGAAGGACCAGGTGAGGCATTATGCCATACGAAATAATCAAAAGATATGACAGGTTGGACAAGAAAATGTTTGACAAGCAGAAAACGGGAGACGGGAAAAACATAGAAGTTAAAAACGTAAATAAACCTGATCGTTGTTTCCACCACTCACCTCCAACATTCCCAACAACTAGCAGAGGCACCAGCAAGAGGATCCTCATTATAAAGGTACTTTTCGGTCCCATCCTCCCTGGTGATGATGTATGTGGACGTCCTACTGGCTCGAGACATCCCATTCTCGGTGTCCTGGGTGTTTAAGTTCGTTTTCAGGAAGACATCTGAGATAGGTAGAACCTATGGGACGGGTAGAAATAAGCCGGATTTAGTAGGTCACCTGGGATGGGTTATACAATGAAAATATATATTTCGGATCAGTTGTGATGAGAGATGAATAATGAATTTCAGGAACTCTCATTGGTGTGGCAACATGAAAATATAAAACTGACTAGGACATAAATTTGTGTTAGAATGACACTTGAAATAGATATGAATTAGAGTACTGGCGAAGGATCACTTGCACTTCGAGGGTCAACTTCAATGTCAGAGAAAGCTTAACAACACTGTGGTCAACCCACAGTACGGGTAGGAATCGAACTCATGGCAAGTGAGCCGTAACACTGTGGTCACTTGGGCATGATTCTTCTGTTCTTAAAGTCCGTTCATTACAAATAATAATAAAAACGATAATCATAATTACAGTGTTATCCTCATCTGTGTGTGTAAATTCGTAACGCCAAATTCGGTTATTCTTTATTTTGCCATTTGTTGTGCTGAGGCTCTGCAACACTCATGAGATATCCAGTACAGTTCATGAAGTGCCTCGTGCCGTTCACAAGGCATCTGGTACCCTTTACCAGGTATCTAGTATCGTTCACAAGGTATACTGTACCGTTCACGATGTATCTGGTATTCACGAGGTATCCACTACTATTCACGAGACATCTGGTATCGTTCACAAGGTATCTAATATTCACTAGGTATCTGATACCGTTCACGAGGTATCAAAGCATGTGGTAACACTGTACCTGCCACCAGACAAATATACGTTATTCCTGGACTTGTGGAGATCGTTGCTGCCAAGCCTGTGAGAAGTGCCACCGCTACGTCCAGTTAGTGTTGCCAGAAGTGTTTCATATCTTCCATCTTGTGTTGAATACTGAAACTTGACGGAAGATTATGAGGAAAAGAATTATATTTCCTTCGTGATATCAAATTGTTTTTTTAAAAATATATATACCAGAGAATAACAGATGGGAAGGCTTAGTTTAATGTTTGAGAAGAGAATGGCTACATTGCTTATTTTTGTCTATGATTTATCACCGTCATCGGGGTGGAGATTAGATAGTGTCACAGGCGGCTCAGTATCAGTGTTATCACATGACATGGGAAGGGGTGACATTATCGAGTTCTTCGGTAAATGGGACATTTATATATATATATATATATATATATATATATATATATATATATATATATATATATATATATATATATATTATATATATATATATATAGTTGTCGTGCCGCAATAGGCAGAACTAGCGATCTTGGCTTAAATAGCAACGCTCTCTTGCCAAATAGACAAGTGAAAATTTGTGTATCATAAATTTCGCCAAAATCATTCTGAACCTAACGAAAAAAATATATTTCACTGTGTTTGTTTAGTATTAAATTATTTAAACAAATCTAAAATATATTTAGTTGGTTAGGCAAAATTTAAAATTTGGGTTCTTGTTATAATAAGGTTAGGTAAGTTTCTAAGATTCTTTGGTGCAAAATTAAAATTTTTTACATTAACATTAATGAAAAAATATATATCTTTAAACGTATAAGAGAAAATTTTTCAGAAAGGACTTAGTTTTAAATGAGTTCTTGCTAATTGACCAGTTTTACTATTCGGCACGACATATATATATATAATATATATATATATATATATATTTTATATATATATATATATATATATATATATATAATATATATATATATATATATATATATATAGTGTGTGTGCGTCGTGCCATATAGGTAAAATTTTCGATTTTGGCTTGACTAGCAACGCTCTTCTTGCCGTATAAGACAAGCGAAAATTTGTGTATGCAAAAATTTAGAAAAAAATCATTCCGAACTTAACCCCCAAAAAATATATTTCATTGTAAACTTATCTAAAATATATTTAGTTGGCTTAGGCTAAATTAAACTGCGCTTGTTATAATAAGGTTAGGTGCAAAATTATTAATCTGTACATTAACATAAATGAAAAAAATATATCTTTAAACGTATAAGAATTTTTTTAGAAAGGGCTTTATTTTAAATGAGTTCTTGCTAATTGACCAGTTTACCTATCGGCACGACATATATAAATACTATATATATATATATATATATAAAATAGATATATATATATATATATATATATTATATATATAATATATATATTATATATATATATTATATTTAAAAAGTCGGCCGTCTCCCACCGAGGCAGGGTAACCCAAAAGAAAGAAAATCCCAAAAAAAAATACTTTCATCTCAATTCAACACTTTCACCTCACCACTCATAATCATGTTTTTGCAGAGGTGCTCAGAACACACAGTTTGAAGCATATACGTATAAAAATACACAATATATCCCTCCAAACTGCCAATATCCCAAACCCCTCCTTTAGAGTGCAGGCATTGTACCTCCCATTTCCAGGACTCAAGTCCGGCTATATAAAAATAACCGGTTTCCCTGAATCCCTTCACTAAATATTACCCTGCTCACACTCCAACAGATCGTCAGGCCCCAAATACCATACGTCTCCATTCACTCCTATCGAAACACGCTCATGCACGCCTGCTGGAAGTCCAAGTCCCTCGCCCACAAAACCTCCCTTACCCCTTCCTTCCAACCTTTTCGAGGACGACCCCTACCCCACCATCCTTCCCCTTCAGATTTATACGCTCTCCATGTCATTCTACTTTGATCCATTCTCTCTAAATGACCAAACCACCTCAACAAACCCTCTTCAGCCCTCTGACTAATACTTTTATTAACTCCACACCTTCTCCTAATTTCCACACTCCGAATTTTCTGCATAATACTTACACCACACATTGCCCTTAAACAGGACATCTCCACTGCCTCCAACCGTCTCCTTGCTGCAGCATTTACCACCCAAGCTTCACATCCATATAAGAGTGTTGGTACTACTATACTTCCATACATTCCCTTCTTTGCCTCCATAGATAACGTTGTACAAGAATGGTATACAATACCAACAAGATGAAATTAAGACACTTGTGCAACATCTGGGTATCTTTATTGTAGATAGTGAATCATCGAGGACTGTCCATCTTATTTCCATTGGGGTCCTCAATCTTGTCTCCCCAGGATGCGACCCACACCGGTCGACTGACACCCAGGCGAACATAACAACAGGTGTAAGGAAACGCGTCGAAATGTTTCTACCCCACCGGGAATCTAACCCGGAACCTCCGTGTCAATGTCATTAACATAACTAATTAACCAGTTTTTAACATATTTCTATCTTATGTTTGTTTGATCAAAAATATATCTATTGGACGTATATATTGCTTGGAAAACTCAGTAACGAAGGACCCAAGAAAATAATAAAATAATAATCTCTGCGGTAGGCCTACTGATCCTTGGCAGTTTTTCTTAATTAATATCCGCTTCCATTGAGAAACCAATACTTTCTTATATCCTGTCTAAGTCCATCTTATAGCACATTTATTTGTACCTGCTGCTCTCATGTACACTTTAATCATACAACCCTCTCTTTCTACTTCAAAGTTCCTTAAGTAATGTTTGTGGTACGTGTGAGGTGATCAGTGCACTGACGGACTCGCTTGTAATGAGGTATCAGTATTCATGAGTTGCCTGCCGGGTACATAGCAAGTCCACCATCAACAGAAGTCACGCACACACTGAGGCAACAAGGCGACATGAATGACACTTAATGTAGAGAAAGCCTTTATTTCTCACAATATTTCGCTCTTGGATTGAGGCTGGTTAATTGGGTTTGAAGCCTGTTGACTACAGGAAAATCACTAAGGCTGCATGCAACCTGTTCACCGTCTATTAAAAATATTTTTATTTCTTAAAATAGGGATTTAAGTAAACTCTCAGTATATATACACCGAGAGACTGTTCAGTGTATTATAACCTGTGTAGGAGGATTCCTTTTCTTCACGTGTTTTATACCCACACACTACCAAGGTGTCCAAAATAACTGATGTGCGATTTGTGAGCGTTTGTTGAACCTATATTTTGTGTTTCATTAATAGGCTCACGTGTTTTAACTTTTCTGAACATTAAGTAGACGGTATAAAACTACTTCCATCTCTGACACAGTTAATGATCTTATATGATAGTGAATCCAACACCCTAATCATTAATGGGTTAAATTCCTTGGTTTTACACCTGTAATGGAAAGGTTCCTCCACATTTTTACCCGTACCCCCGAGACACCTTGATTATTCCAGTACATCTCCCGGGGAGAGGACAGCAGTACCCACTACCTCGGTGCAGTCAATACCAGGTGCCCATACGTAAAGTTGAGTTTCATTGCTTGCTGGTAAGCCGTGGCGCACGCAACTTGTACAGGTCTATCTTATCACTTATCTATCAGTACTCCTCTCCCTCCATTTTCACTGTTCCCCTCCCTGCGACCCCCTCCCCATCAACCCCAACCCTCCCCCTCCGTTCCCTGACAGTTGTCTCACCTGGCTGAGGCTCCGACGCAACTCAGGTGGAAGAGCCATCAAACATTTAGCCTCACAAGTGGCTGGTGTTCTACAATACAAGTGTTAACTGTGATTAATAGCTATACCAGAGCTTCAAAACTGTAGCACCCTACGTTAATAGGCGTAAATCTAAAATTAATATAAAATGTGAGGTGGTACAACGTTATGTCATCACAGATAACGATGTAAGTGAAGCGCTCACCACCAGAGTGAAGTGTTTTTTGCAAGCGGGTACAATTCTAGCCAATATTGTGATCTACGAACACCGTTAAGTTCTCGTTTATCAATACTTTCTGCAACTATAAGAACGTCAGCACCTTCCTTTTCTAGGATGCCACGGCGAAGATGTTCAGTATGAGAGCATCTATGGAATTCCTCGCTGTCCTTGCCTGCTCCATGGTAGTGGGGGCAAACAGATTCCTTGAGGAACACCACAACAGCAAGACTCAACACCCAGCCCATTGTCCAGGAGCTATTGGTGCCCACCAAGGAGCCTCCTGTGTCGTACTTCCTGCTGCCCCGCTTCCTGTCCTGTCTACTCCAGGGAACCCCAAGCTAACTAATACCACACCCACCAGTAGCAACAGACAAAAACAAAAACTACACAAGGTATATCACCTAAATTTCCGTAAACAAAAATATTTTGAACATAATACCATGAAATAGCAAGTAAATGACTTGTAGCTCAGTGTTAACTACATCGGTTTACAACCGTCGAACTTGGGATCAATGCTGGGGCGAGGTGGAGATGGGCAAAACCCCCTTACACCTATTATTTTTTGTGTAAACGCTAATAGGTACCTGAGTGATAACCCACAGTTGTAGGTGGCATCCTGGGGCAGTACACTCAAGTGTGTACAAAGGCATTGATTATATTAATGGGGAAGCGTTACTCGTAGGGATCATAAATCGCTAGGAGAATGGGGGGTAAATAGATTTGATCCAAGAAAGAGAGGAGGGTTGCTCCAATTCTTTGGATCAGGAGCCCTTCAAAAGCATCAAGACACCTACCTGCCTCGAAGAGATTTAAACCCATAAATAATATCAGTTATTCAGAGGTGGTCATGCCTCGCAAACCACCAGAGAATATTAGTGTGTTGCAATCAGTCTGGATCAAGGACAGTGCGAAGTTTGTCAGGACTCTTGCCAGTGTCATGTTTATGTTAGGACTCTTGCCAGTGTCATGTTTATGTTAGGACTCTTGCCAGTGTCATGTTTATGTTAGGACTCTTGCCAGTGTCATGTTTATGTTAGGACTCTTGCCAGTGTCATGTTTATGTTAGGACTCTTGCCAGTGTCATGTTTATGTTAGGACTCTTGCCAGTGTCATGTTTATGTTAGGACTCTTGCCAGTGTCATGTTTAAGCCAGGACCCCAGTAGTTCAAGGCTTATTTTCCAGGACCTTCAGTAGCGACATGTTGATGTCAGGATTTTAGCGAAGGAGGGGGAGGGGGTTGGAGCTCCAAATATTTAACTAATACACTATAAGGTGATTTTACACTATTTTCTCTTCTTGTGAATGACTTATTTTCAAACGAGCAAACACAGCAGTTCATTAATTTAATCTAACCTAAACACAACAGATCCTTAGCCCATTCTAACCTAACCTTAACACAAGAGCTCCTAAACGTATTCTAACCCATTTAAACCCAGTCTATTTTAACTGAACCTATCCTAATCTTACCTATACACAGTAGTCCTTTCTAACATAACCTAACCTAAACGCCTAACCTAACCTAATCTTACTTAAACAAAGTAGTTAATATCTTATCACAGCATTTGGTTATGATTCATAATCGTCTAGAATCTAGATTAATAAAACTAAATTTAATAGTCCTATTATCGAAAACTCTAAATTCGTTGGTCCAAAAAGTGCCGAAATTTTGGCAATTATTGAAATATTTTTTGCTATTTTAATCAAAGAAAATGATGAGCTCACCATCAATAGACTGTCTTTGGGAGATTTGGTCAAACTTAAGTAAGCTCAACAGGTCATCCTCCACTACGTATGTAAGTAAGCAAGCACGTATTAGTGTCCCAGCTTCGGGAAGGCCACATGTCTTAACATTTTAAGCTTAAATTCCCAACATATATACACAAATAACCCGCACATAGAAGAGAGGAGCTTATGACGACGTTTCAGTCCGACTTGGACCTCTCTTCTATGTGCAGGTTATTTGTGTATCGTTCCAGTCACGTATTGTGCCTTTTTTTTGTTATTCCCATCATATAGTTTAACGGTTGTGTGGAAGAGCAGGAACGGAAAAAGTTCCCGTGTCAGGAGTATCTTTCCCTTTTCCTGACGAACAAATCACCATCCAATTTAGTGTAGCAGCTTTCTCGGCCCTGTCATCAAAGATTAGACTCCAGCTACGTTATAAATTTCGAAGACGGGCAGTTAAGTTTCTCCACTGGTCTGGTGTAATACCATGAGTCTCCTTATTCATGATGTCTATTGTGAATTTATATACATGCATTACTATAGTCTCCAGCTGTGAAGATGTATGGCTCATCACACGAAAGTGCTCTAAGTATTCAATTTATAATTCACTGTGGGGATTTTGGCATATATTACTTATATATGTTCAAGGTTCTAAAGGCAGTTCAAGAAAGGATGTTAAAGTGACTCATCTCTAATCAGTTGACTTGTTAATACTTTATATTTACTGCTGTATAAGTGGATAACTCTGGTCTTCTAGAAGTCTAGTCCACAACAAACCTAGCATTGAACTGACTCGTAAATGAATTTTGGGCTCTGCTATAAACTAGAGCAACTCTGGCTTTACTAGATGTCTAGTCTATAAGTTGCTATACAGCATAATGAAAAATCCACTTTAATTTCATATTACTCCTGTTATCCATGGTATGTAACACCACTGCTCCATTGTGCTGGCACTTGGCTGATTGTGAGAAGGATTTCGCTACAGTAGGTACACTGTGTTAAAAATATATTAAGAAACTATGTAAATTTAATAGATATATATTGACATGATTCGTAACATTTACATAGATAACCATAATATGAAATCGAGATAAGAGTTTACCAAGGCTACACCATCTCTTCAAAACTAATGACAATGCTGAAAAAAATTTAACTCGGAAAGAAATAGGTATGAATAACGCCTATTAAAAAAATCTGGGGCCATTATAATATGAGCTTCCATTGCAAGAGTTACAAACGTGTATTCAATAGATCAATGAAGAAAGGAACAAGACAGAGTAAAACAAGAATGTTGATTTTTCAGGTTTAAAGGATATCGACTGCATGATGTCATTAAAGCTGAGCACCACCTGCACACCACCAGCCAAGAATTCTTTTATCTCAAAAATAAAGATCAAATCACACTTTCAGTGTATATACATAAAGATACGTATGAATGGATGAGAGCTGTTTTACTAACTTGTGGCAGCTGGACTCCGGTCAATAATGAATGTAACAGTGATACAAAACTCATCACAGTTCATAAAAGCAGGGAAAAATGTGTAAAAATTATAAGATAGACAAGTTAAAGTGGGAAATATAAGTATAGAATTAAAGAACCGCAATGATGGTGGTTCAAACATCCGTCGCGAAGAACGTTTAAATAATGGGTTAAGAAAATAACTGAATATAATCTACGAGGTATGAAAAGGTTTATAAGCGGCTACTAGCATGTAGCTATAGCACGTAGCTACTAGCATGCAGCTAACATGCAACTACTAGCATGCAGCTATTAACATGCAGCTACTAACATGCAGCTACTAACATGCAGCTACTAACATGCAGCTACTAGCATGCAGCTAACATGCAGCTACTAGCATGCAGCTAGCATGCAGCTACTAGCATGCATCTAACATGCAGCTACTAGCATGCAGCTGCTAACATGCAGCTACTAGCATGCAGCTATTAACATGCAGCTACTAGCATGCAGCTACTAACATGCAGCTACTAACATGGAGGGTACTAACCCTGCAGCTACAACTGGAGCTACTAGCCCTGCAGCTACAACATGCAGCTAAATAACGTGCAGCTACTAGCATGCAGCTACTAACATGGAGCTACTAGCATGCAGCTTCTAACATGCAGCTACTAGCATGCAACTACTAACATGCAGCTACTAACATGCAGCTACTAGCATGCAGCTACTAGCATGCAGCTACTAGCATGCAGCTACTAATATGCAGCTACTAGCATGCAGCTACTAGCATGCAACTACTAACATGCAGCTACTAGCATGCAGCTATTAACATGCAGCTACTAGCATGCAGCTACTAACATGCAGCTACTAACATGGAGCTACTAGCATGCAGCTACTAAAAATGGAGCTACTAGCATGCAGCTACTAACATGCAGCTACTAACGTGCAGCTACTAGCATGCAGCTACTAACATGGAGCTACTAGCATGCAGCTTCTAACATGCAGCTACTAGCATGCAACTAACATGCAGCTACTAACATGCAGCTACTAGCATGCAGCTACTAACATGCAGCTACTAACATGCAGCTACTAGCATGCAGTTTCTAACATGCAGCTACTAGCAGCAGCTACTAACTTCAGCTACTAGCATGCAGCACTGCATGCCTACTAGCATGCAGCTACTAGCAGCAGCTACTAGCATGCAGCTACTAGCATGCAGCTACTAGCATGCAGCTAAATAACATGCAGCTACTAGGGATGCAGCTACTAACATGCAGTACTAGCATGCAGTTACTAACATGCACTACTAACATGCGCTACTAGCATGCGCTACTGCATGCAGCTACTAGCATGCAGCTACTAACATGCAGCTACTAGCATGCAGCTACTAGCATGCAGCTACTAACATGCAGCTACTAGCATGCAGCTACTAACATGCAGCTACTAGCATGCAGCTACTAGCATGCAGCTACTAGCATGCAGCTACTAATATGCAGCTACTAGCATGAGCTACTAGCATGCAGCTACTAACATGCAGCTACTTGCATGCAGCTACTAACATGCAGCTACTAGCATGCAGCTACTAGCATGCAGCTACTAGCATGCAGCTACTAGCATGCAGCTATTAATATGCAGCTACTAGCATGCAGCTACTAGCATGCAGCTACTAACATGCAGCTACTAACATGCAGCTACTAGCATGCAGCTACTAGCATGCAGCTACTAGCATGCAGCTACTAGCATGCAGCTACTAGCATGCAGCTACTAACATGCAGCTACTAGCATGCAGCTACTAGCATGCAGCTACTAACAGGCACAACTTTCTTTCGTGCCTACCTATGTTTTATTACATGTAAAACTACATTATTTGTACCACATGAAGATATAAAACTTTGTATTTGTATTAATAAACTAAGTAACCAAAAAAAAAATCAATCCAATGAAGAGCCTCTTAATGGAGGCTCTGCAGATACAGAAAGATCGAGAAAATAATGCAGTAAACAGACATTATCTCCCAAGGACTTGCCGGGAATTCGTCACTGAACCCAGATGTTGTTTCACAGACTTTTGTCGGTGTTATGTCCTTTTACACGAACGGAATATTATTATATTCAAGGGAAAGTGGTGAATGTATAGAATTGTTATTATAATCATGGGGAGCGCTAAACCCATAGGATTATACAGCGCATGTAGGGGGGGATGGAAGGCATTCAGGCTCAATTCAGGGAACTGGAGCACAGATCCAATTCCCTAGATCAAGAGCCCCTCACCAGCATCAATAGAAGGTCGTACAACGTCTGAAGAAAAGAAAGAAATGAGATATTATCCAAGGAAAGTGACGGTACCTACATGTTAGATATTACTCTATAATTGTTGACTTCAGTTGGGTCTCCACCTTCGTGGATTGGAAGGTAACACGAGTTACCTCAAGTATATTAGGAAAAGTTTTGGTTTCAAGAAATTTGTTAAACAGGTTTGCAATGACGTGATGGCACGTGAAAAGCTTTCTTATACAGGAATGGTGGTATACTATTATTATAATAAAAAAGAAGCGCTAAACAGCAAGGGTTATACAACAACGGTGGTATACTTGCTTAATAACCTGATTTGTTTTTTAGTGCATTTGTTGTTAAAGTTACCTCTATAGAATTTGTTGGGGACTGGTAGGTAGAGGGAATCTTGACACTGCCAGTGAAGTAATCACTAATCTGAGCAATTGAGTTGAGGATTTTGCTGGCGAGTTTAGCCTCTGAGTTGAGAAACCATTAAGTTTATTTACAGTATCAGTAATATGAGTGTGGGGTTCATTAGGTCTAGTCAGTAAAATTTCTTTTCTCTTTTTTGATATCGCGCTTTATTTCTCGGAACTTGGTGGCATATTATAGTTTTTTAGATTTCTTTACAAGTAGAACAAGTGTTGATGTATATTATTTCTAATTCTTTGGTAATTAAGCCCTTTCTGTATTTCTTTCGTAGATAGGCTTTTGGTCAATGGCTCTCAGGATGTGGTTGGTTAGCCAAGGATTATTTAGTCCCGTAGCTCGATTCCTATCGCACTCAGTTGAGATCCGTGATTCGATCTCCGGTACAGGTGAAAATATTACGACGTGGTTCCTTAAGACACCTGCTGTCCCTGTTCACCTAGCTGTAAAATAGGTACCCGGGTGTTAGCTGACTGATGTGGGTCTCATCCTGTAGACAAAATTGGCCTAATTTGCCCGAAATGTTCTGTATAACATGGGGTTTTCTACATAGTAGTATGTCCTCGATGTCAACTAGGCCTGTATACGTTGTACATATATTTGTAGAAATAAAGATTATTATAAGTAGTAGTATTAGTATTAATTTGACCTGCTTGGTTTTTATGTGACAATGTTATAGAGACAATTTTTTTAAGGAAAATATGGACACATGAATGAATATATTGAATTCTGTCTCCCAATCAATGGTACTTATAGACATCATAAAATTATTCACTGAAACCTCATCGTGGAGCCTCAGTGAGGCTGATAACTAGAACAGTTGGGTCAAGATCAGCTGTGTTATCGCTGATCATGCCAGCTTTTAGAGCAGCTGTTGTGGTTGTCTAAATGTGGTCAAGGGAAGATGCAGATGTCTCAGTAATTCACGTACGTTTGGTTGTTGAAGACAGTAGTAGGTAATCATACACGTTTTTTGGAAGCCAGATATATATGGGTCTTCTTCCTAGGTGAGATATATGTTAATGTCACCAGCAATTATTACCGAGATTATTGTTTATGATTAGTTCTTGAAGATTATCTCCAAAGGTTCCTATGTTGGTGTGTTGAGATTATAGAGAGCTTCTGTTGCCAATGAAGTACTTACGTTTTTATCTAAATTGGGCACATTTATATTCCCCATGTTCATCTTTAGTACATATAGAATATACATGCATTGTTCACTGTGTCTCCTGGGTCACTGTGTCTCCTGGCTCATGTGTGTTATGGCTCACAGTGTGCCAGGACACCAGCAATGTGTACTGTGACATCTGTAATCCTTTTATTTATTTTTTCTGCGCTGCCACTCACAAGATTAGCACGGGGCGCACAATAAACTAGTTAACCACTCAGGCGACAAAACTAGCTCGACTCAGGAAGCCATTGTTGCTAAGGCTGCAGAATTCTTCACACGAGCGACATGTTGCTCTACAAACATTAATGATTACACACTTTCCTTGACAGTCACCTGTGTCCTTCCTTGGCATTAAGCCTGTTAACTGGCGTGTATAGGGGTGTTAGGTAGTGGGTTGTATGTATAGGGGTGCTAGATAGTGGGTTGTATGTACAGGGGTGCTAGATAGTGGGTTGTATGTAAAGGGGTGCTAGATAGTGGGTTGTATATACAGGGGTGCTAGATAGTGGGTGGAGTGGGTTGAGGTGTGTACAGGGGTGATACACAGTGGGTGGGGTGGGTCGACACACACAAGACTTTTCTGCACTCTGGCCTGCAAACTCTGCATCACAATACTTTATCAGCAACGCCAGACCTGATGCAAAGCTTGCAGGTTCGAATCCTGCTGTGGACGTAGAGATAATGTTTGCAAATAATTTCGTCTGTTTGCGACTTGTTAAGCATTTATATATATATATATATAATATATATATATATATATATATATATATATATATATATAATATATATAAAATATAATATATATATATATAATAATGCAATAAATCACAGTAAACAGGGGATTTCAGAATATGCAAAACAACCACTGGTGTAAAGAATAGAGAAATTCCAAGCGCTTTCGTGACTACTCACATATCAAGAACATTGTTCCTTGATAATGTGAGTTTGTCACGAAAGCCATGGAATTTCTCTATTCTTTCACAGTGGTTGTTTTATATATATATATATATATATATATATATATATATATAATATATATAAAATATATATATAAAATATATATATATGCATTAGATTTAGATTTTGCCACCGAAGTGGCTAGTTTATTTGTGCACTCCCATATCCATCCTTGAGGGTAGCCCCAAGAGCTTATGGATTTCACAAAAGGCCCCAAAGGGTTAACAGGTTACATATGGGGTTTTAAAACTACAAATTACAGTTCACTTTTTCTGTTTACAAGCTAATTATAGGAAATTTGCTTAGTATACCTGGTATCTTATTTCATTAATAGATATCTTGACATGTCACATAGTTAATAACTGGTCGTTTCCTGTATTCCTAATAATGACAATTAAGCACATAGTGTTCAAGAGAGTGACCCCTAAAGCCTGATCACATAATTTAACATTTAAATTTGATCATCATCTGTGTGTCCCCAAACTGCCAGAAGTACTTATAACCAAGCCTAAGCCTGGCCCCTACAACATCATCAGTACTTATAACCAAGCCTAAGCCATGGCCACTACAACATCATCATCTGTTCACATTGCAAGTTGGGTCCATAAACATACTTATCTACGTTCATGTTATCATAGTGTTTATAGATCTACTCGGGCTTCTTACTGCATTCCTATAACAATCATTTTCATTATTTACTTCTCTCCTAATATTATTCCTAATGCTAGACACAGAAAGTTTGGTAGTTGAACTAGACACACACACACACACACCACACACACACTCACGTGTGTTGTGTAATTTCTCACCTAGTAGTACTCACCTAGTTGATGTTGCTGGGGTCGAAGTCCGAAACTCCTGGCCCGCGACTCTTCACTGTGTGTGTGTGTGTGTGTTGTGTGTGAGTGTACTCACCTATTTGTACTCACCTATTTGAGGTTGCAGGGTCGGATTCACAAGCTCCTGGCCCCGCCTCTTCGCTGATTGCTACTAGGTCCTCTCTCCTCCCGCCCCATGAGCTCTATCATACCTCGCCTTAAAACTATGTATGGTTCCTGCCTCCACCACATCACTTTCTAGGCTATTCCATGGCCTGACTACTCATGACTGAAGAAATACTTCCTAACATCCCTTTGATTCATCTGAGTCTTCAACTTCCAATTGTGACCTCTTGTGTCTGTGTCCATCTCTGGAACATCCCGTCTTTGTCCACCTCGTCTATTCCGCGCAGTATTTTATATGTCGTTATCATGTCTCCCCTGACCCTCCTGGCCTCCAGTGTCGTCAGGCCGATTTCCCTCAACCTTTCTTCATAGGACAATCCCCGTAGCTCTGGGGACTAGTCTTGTTGCAAACCTTTGCACTTTCTCTAATTTCTTGACGTGCTTGACTAGGTGTGGATTCCAAACTGGTGCTGCATACTCCAGTATGGGCCTGACGTAGATGGTATACAGAGTCTTAAACGAATCCTTACTGAGGTATCGGAACGCTATCCGGAGGTTTGCCAGGCGCCCGTATGCTGCAGCAGTTATCTGATTGATGTGCGCCTCAGGAGATATGCTCGGTGTTATACTCACCCCCAGATCTTTTTCCTTGAGTGAGGTTTGCAGTCTTTGGCCATCTGTGTGTGTGTGTGTGTGTGTGTGTGTCTAGTTCATCTACCAAACTTTCGTGAGAGAGACAGAGATGCATTACATTAAGGTCCGTAACATTGTGGTTTACGTGCCTTGCAGTAGGAGTGAAGTTACCATCACTGCCTTGTGAGAAGACCCGGGACTGCTGGCAGTACACAGAGCCACTGTTAGAGTGCCACGAGGGGCAGTGTTCGTGCTCTCCACCGTTCTGTTGGATCTATCACTATGAGGTCAGCGAGCCTTTCTCCGCCAAGTATGTCTTCAACTGCGGCACCTGCGGTAAGTCAACCGCAACTGCGGCACCCGTCATCACATTTTATATCAATTCCTAAAGTGCGGCATTCAGTAAATTTCTCGATTTAATTTAAGTTTAAGTTAGGGGATGTTAGATTAGGTTATGTTAGATTATACTGAATAAGTCAAAAAGTCACTGTTCACCGCCTCACCTCTACTCTTATTATTATTGTTGTTATTAGTAGCAGTAATAGTAGTATTACAGTCATGGATAAGCGCTAAACCCGAAGGGGTTAGACAGCGCCTGGTGGAAATAGGTGGCAATGAAGTTTGAGCCAAGTAAAGGGAAGACAAGGTCTGTTTATTAGATCACCAGCAATAGGAAAAAAAAACTGCGTCAAACATGCACTGAAATCACGTGGTATTTTAATTAACAGCAGTAACAGTGGTAGCGACAGCATCATTAGTAATGTAAACAACAACAGCATTAATTGTAACAGCAGTATCAGTAGTATTGACAGCAGGAGCAGCAGCAGCAACAGTAGATAAACTTATTCGATGTATCAGAGGTGTAATTGTGTGGTTTTGTACAGGAGTGTTGGGGTCATGGTGCAACGCCAGCATCACCTGCGACTGGCCTGGGGTGTGCTGGAGTGACAACTACTGCCACTGTCCCCGTGGTGAAAACCAGAACAACCTGTGGTACGTCATTACAACAGCAATAACATTAAAATAATAATTTAAACTTTATTTGGGATTCATGGCGATGACCCCCGGAACGCTCTCTAGGTATACTCCAGGTATATTACACAGACTGAAGTATACTCTTCTTGTTATTCTTTGTCCCATACTGCTTCTGGTATATGCAAATTATCTACCAGGGAGAAGAAACTTTTCCTTGTTAATCGCGAATGCATAAACAGTGGGAATATTAAACTAAGATATAAGCGCTTCCCCTTTCCTCTTAGAAATATATAATCACAAAAGCCTTAGCTTACGCTCGCTGGGAAATTCACTGCCATTGAATCCACTCAATCTACAGGTGTGTTATGAGTACCAGGAAACGGAAGAGTTTGTCCTGCCGTGGGTTTTTGTCAACTAATAACCATTTCGGTGTTTAAACAGCCATTGTTCTACCGATGCTGAGATCGGCTACACGAGGCTCGTTAAGGCTGCGTGTAATCTCTTTACCACAAGTCAAGAAATATTCCTCAACTAGATATAAAGATAAACTTTCAGTGTATATAGCGTGTCACTCTACTGGGCCAAGGTTCCCTTTAAGTCACTTCAGTAGCTAACCTAGCAAGACCATATATTCAGTTTAATCAGAGGAAGAACTAAATTCATAGGGTCATATAACTCCTAGGGAATGGAAGGTATTCAGTTTCGATTCACCGAAGTGGAAAATAAGTCCAGTTCCATGAAACTTCCTATGAAAGGCCATTTGAGCTGACAGTCAAAGGGCAATACATTTAACTGCTAAGGCCGCAATATAAAAGCACAAGAAACACCATCTGTCGACTTATCTGCTCTATATCCGACCAGATATTTAGCTAAATATAGTTTTTATTATATATCTTTGGTTCACCATTTGTCAGCTTCCTCATCGACTAGTAAGTGAAAGACTAGACATTATAATCCACCATAACCTCCCCCCCCCCACAATACCATAGTCTGCCAATGAATTAAAAAGCTTCCATGAACCTATACCTCATCTACTGAAACTTTCTTATCATAATCCACTATAACTTCACTGAGAGCTTTCATTACCATAGCTTCCATGGCACCATTATCCGGTATAAATCCAATGCACTATTTCTCAATAAAACTTTTAGTGATGCAATAACATCACTCTTCAAAGATAATAATTATTATATTGGAGGGGGACTAAAACCTTATGGGTTATACGTTGCTTTTGTAATGAAAGCTAATTTAAGTTTGGTCCAAGGAAGAGTGCTCTTAGCTGCGTTGAGGTACCTCCCTTGAAGAAACCAACCTTGGGGGAGACGAGACATAATCTGGACATTGCTCTTCCCACAGCGTGACGACGGACACGTCCTGGACCTACAAGATGGTGCTGATTGGTCTGGCACTTATCGTCTTGTTTACCTCTGTCCTCGTCGCCTACAACTGTTATGTCAAGTGAGTCTCTCTTTTTTAATTTTCTGACCATAGAAACCTTTCAAAGCGGCCATATTCCTCCGTAATCGCCACAGATGTCTGTAATCGACCTTTCTTCATTGCCCATTAGGCCTTTAAACTCGGGTTATATTGTTCTCATTACTAGTAAGACCTTTACGAATGGTCACTTTCGTTTGTATTTGCCTGAACGGCATTTGTAAACTGCCATATCTCTCTTGATTATGTATAATGTCGTGCTGAATAGGTAAAACTTGCGGTTTTGGCTTAAATAGCAACACTATTCTTTGCCGAATAAAGCAAGCAAAAATTTGTGTATGCAGTAATTTCGCAAAAATCATTCTGAACCTAACGAGAAAAATATATATATTTCATTGTGTTTGTTTATTATTAAATTATTGTAAACTTATCTAAAATATATTTAGTTGGATTATACTAAATTTAATTGCGCTTGTTATAAGGTTAGGTAAGTGTGTGTGTGTGTGTGTGTGTGTGTGTGTGTGTGTGTGTGTGTGTGTGTGTGTGTGTGTGTGTGTGTGTGTGTGTGTGTGTATGTATGTATGTATATATGTGACTAATGTATACAAGTGTGTTTCCACAGTCCACCATGGAGACAGACGGAACCCTGGTGTTGTGGCCTGTGTCCTGGAGCCCAGGGAGTGGAGGTAAGTAGTGCAAGTTGCTGGTCATGGCTCCAGCCTGACCTGTCCTAGAAATAGATTTACGTATTATTTATTGTGTTGAAACAAATGTTGATACTAGCGTGAATGTGCGCATGAAAAAACACCTTCAAGTATGGTTATGTCCCCACGGCCTCAGAGGTCAACAAAGGTACATGAATATGCTAAAATTACATTGTGAAACTAACTTCATTTCCTGGAGTATATCTGGAGAGGGTTTCGGGGGTCAACGCCCCTGCGGTCCGGTCTGTGACCAGGCTTTATAGTGAATCAGGGCCTGATCAACCAGCTGTTACTGTTGGCCGCACGCAACCCGATGTACGAACCACAACCCGGCTGGTCAGGTACTAACTTTAGGTATCTGTCCAGCGCCTTCTTGAAGACAGCCAGGGGTCTATTGGCAATCCCCCTTATGTATGCTGGGAGGCAGTTGAACAGTCTTGGGCCTCTTACACTTATTGTTAATGCTGTTCTTTGTGTTGAAAAGCGGTTTAGTGCCGAAGGGGTAGCGTAGGTTGCAGAGATACGGCCGTAGACTAACTTGGCTTTAATTTAAAAAAGGAGTGAGTACACAACGGGCAAAGTGATGGGATGACCGATAGCCAGTCCGTGGAGGAGAGGTTGTTGAACCCGTGGGGGTAGGCCGTGAAGTGAGACCGGGTAGGTTCCGCGTCTCGCTGACCTGGGCAGGCCTAGAGAGGGCAGCACCGTAGTGCAGCGGGATATGAAACTAGCAGACAGTACATCATTGTGCTGTCTCTTATCGTACTAGTGGCGCCCCTGCTTTTCATTGGGGGGATGTTGCATCGCCTACCGAGTCTTTTGCTTTCATAGGGAGTGATTTTCGTGTGCAAGTTTGGTACGAATACCTCTAGGATTTTCCAAGTGTATATAATCATGTATCTCCCGCCTGCGCTCTAGGGAGTACAGGTTTAGGAACTTCAAGCATTCCCAGTAATTGTGGCAGTTTATCGCAGTTATGCGTACCGTGGAGGTTCTCTGTACATTTTCTAGGTCACCAATTTCACCTGCCTTGAAAGGTGCTGTTAGTGTCCAGCAATATTCCAGCCTAGATAGAACCAAACTACCTGAAGAGTGTCATCATGGGCTTGGCATCCCTATTATTAAGTAACTTCTAACACCAGAATACTCTCTAAAAATAATAATGGAAAATATATAAATTTAAAGGGATTCTTGAATTTGTCCCTTTCACTTCAGAATGTCAGATACAAAAATATACATGGTCCAACATTTCACCGAAAATATAAATTTTATCAAAATAAATCTTTAGCATTGTTGTTACTACTGTCAGTTTTTTTCATCCTTAAACACCGCCATCAGTACTCTTTAATACCAACATCAGGTCTAACACCACCCTTATAAGTAATATTTGACACCGCCGTCAGGTGTAGTACCATTCCTTCGTCAGTCACCACTAGCACCTCCTCCACTCTGCCCCTACCATTTCCCTTTCCACTACAAGCAATAAGCTTATTGTAGCTTCCAAATTGTTAGGTAAGACACATATGCAACAGTTAGGTATCTTGAAACGTTTCGCCTACACAGTAGGCTTCTTCAGTCGAGTACAGAAAAGTTGATAGAAGCAGAAGATACTTGAAGACGATGTAATCAGTCCATCACCCTTAAAGTTTTGAGGTGGTCAGTCCCTCAGTCTGGAGAAGAGCATTGTTCCATGGTATGAAGCATTGTTCCATGGTATGAAACATTGTTTCATACCATGGAACAATGCTCTTCTCCAGACTGAGGGACTGACCACCTCAAAACTTTAAGGGTGATGGACTGATTACATCGTCTTCAAGTATCTTCTGCTTCTATCAACTTTTCTGTACTCGACTGAAGAAGCCTACTGTGTAGGCGAAACGTTTCAAGATACCTAACTGTTGCATATGTGTCTTACCTAACAACCTGTCGGTATTTTATACCATTTTAATGTTCAGCTTCCAAATTGTAACTATCATGTATAAGGAGGAAGCCGCACACTACGTAGCTCGAGCGCTAGCCCAGTCAGCTCACACATTGTGGTCCAGGGGTCGATACCCGGTATGGCTGGGAAACATTAGGACGTGTTTCCTTAAGAAACCTGCTGTCTAATGTTCACCTATCAAAACTTTGGGGCTCAGTCCCTGGACCCATTATGTACTCTGTAATCTTTTGACTACCGCCCACAGGCTGGGTATGGGGTGCATACTCATATTTACATGTCAAACAAACATTACCCCATTACCAAACATTCTGACTACCAGTCAGTACTATTTCCATTATCATTCTAACTACCAGTCACCATTATTAACGCTCAATCTAACTGTTTCTATCTCAAACAGCGTCGTCATTCAACGCAGAAGACTCCAGCATTCACCATTCAAAGCCATTACGCAAGTCACGTGAGTAGTCACCTCAGGTTAAAGTCAGATCAATTAATCTTAGTCAGAACTAGTTGATCAAAGTTAGTCAGGCCATTTATTATTATTATTATTATTATTATTATTATTATTATTATTATTATTATTATTATTATTATTATTATTATTACATTAACATTAAAATATTTTAACTGTGCATTTGTTTAAGGTTCAAGCCAGGTCTAGTAACTAAGAATTGAAGCTTAGTCTTTCCGAGTAACCATGTAATATTCAGGCCAAAATTAATTAAAAGTCACATTTTCATGTAAATATCAGTGAAATCTCGACGAAGAACTTATTAAAGGAACCAGCGAGATGGTTAAAGTATGAGTAAGACTCGTGTCATATGATTTTTCCTGACAAATAAGCTAACAACAGCAACAACAACACGCCGAGTCAGGACAAGAGGCAAATCCATCTTAGGACACGAGAAAGTGTTTTTGTTTTTTAACTAGTGTGTAGAAACCCAAATACCACGTCTTATAGCAGGCTATTAAAAATTTAGATTTATTTCAGCATCCATAAAGATAATTAGGTTTAAGTAAACTCTAATATTGATCGAATTTCATAGGGCAAACCTAATAACTATCACACTTCAGGTAGGTATTACTTAATCGAGATTCTGGTAAATACTTGTAACAGTTCTGAGTATTTATTAAAGGAAACATTTCGCCACGAGTGGATTCATTAGTAATTAAAACTGATAGTCACTCGAGGCGAAATGTTTTCTTTAACAAATATACTGAACTGTAAACAAGTGTCCTTTTACACCTTTTTACGGTATCACTGTACCATTTACAACCAAATACTGTATTTATAATAATGATCAAGGCTCAGGTAAGTATGGTTAACAATTACCGTGTTTTGGTAAGCATTTTTTGACAATTATCATAGTGTTGTGCCAATCATTAAGCTTAACTGAACCTATAAAACAAAATTAAACAGTATTCTCCTTTAATTATTGCTACTGAAGTATATTTTTAACTATTAGTGACATATATTCACCATAAAGAATAAGTTACAGTAAATGCTGTTACAACAATTCACAATTAACGCATATATTACAGTTGAAACTAGAAGACGTTTCGATCCGTTTAGGATCATTGTCATTTAGTAACTGATGATGATCCAGGACGGCCCGAAACGACATATATTTTCATATCGTTTTTATGTCTATTTCTATATGCTTTCATATTATCACAGTATTTGTTACTGTCGTTTCCAGGAGTCCGTTTTGTCGTCCAGGGCCTCCAACGACCAAGGAACGAGATCTGAATCTAATGTCGGAGGAAGAACTTCCCGATGGCGTCTCCGTTCCATCTCACAAGGTAGCCACGATAATGAAGGCACGTCGAGCATATCTTCCGTGTCGACCGCCGTCACCAGTGTAAGCCAGGCCAGCACCGAGACTACTAGTGATGGTGTTGCTCCTGCCACTGCTACTTCTGAGCCTCTTGCGGTGGACGGCGACGATCATGAGCAAGTCTTTACCATCAACCTGAATGTTTCTTCGGAGACGGTGAATTTCCAGGCTCCCTCGGAGGATAGCAGGAGTGATGACGAGTCGTCTGTGGGGTCGTTAAATAGCTGTTCTCACGAGAGGTGCTCGTTATGTCTGCCTAAAGGACCCATGACACGACCTTCCAGCGTCGTCACCCCTAACAGCTTAGCCTCGGGAAATAAATCCATGTTACACCACTTCCAGACACGAAATTCAATGGACACAAATATTTATATAGAATCTACTCATCTTTAGGTTATGATATTATTAGTCCTACTTGTTTTGTTCCAATATCGTCAAAATATTGTGATTAATGTAGATAAATGAATCTTCACTATGGAGCACCTATGTTGCTATCCATAAGGTTGGTCTTGAAAGCCACTCTCCTACATATGTGTTATTTATGAGAGGGGTTGTAGGAAAGGTCGCGAATGACTTCCCATATCTGAGAAAGGGCGTGAATAACTCCCGCCACTCTTCCCCTTTCTCTACACGCCTACTATTCGTTATTGGTTGTGAATGACAGAATATACTGTTCTCTCAACATACGTTTAGTGACACCAACGGCCCCATCATTCAAGCTTTCGACTCTTAGTCCTCTCCAGCAGGAATTAGTTGTTTAAATTTAGAACACTCCTTCAGTAACTTCCACAGTTTTTTGTCTATACAGCCTTGCACCTCACCGCCTCTATTGCCTTGCCACAACAGCGGTGATCTGAGATGATCCATAAAAACTGTATTCTTCAAACCTTGTTTGGGTTTCTGGTCTTCTTATCGCTGTAGTGTTCAGGAGACTACACTCTACCGCCTTCGTATCGCACACACGTCTCACTCATGGGTATTTCATGGAGAAGCGCCCAGCGCCGCTCTGTGAGAATTGTCAAGTTCCGCTGTCAGTTCACCACCTACTAAAAGACTGTCCTGTGTTATCAGTGGACACGCAGAATTTACCTCCGGCGTCGTCACCGCTCTAACACACTATCTGTAGACGAATGGTTCAGAGAACTGACAAGTTGATAAATTAGACCCATGTGCAACACTTGGGTATATTTAATGAGGAAACGTTTCGCCCCACAGTGGCTTCATTAGTCCATACAAAGGAGAATGGTGAAGAACAGGAGTTTGAGGTAATCAGTCCCTCAGCCTTGATGTGATCAGTCATGCCTAACCTTTAGGCATGACCTACTTCCACATTTGGATTAGTTAAATGTGATACCACCTACGACTGCTTCACCTCACCTGCCTATAGTATATAAGCCACTTCTTCTCACATATGCTGTATTCTTTTCAAGATTGATGGACTAATCACATCGACTCAAGGTTGAGGGACTGATTACCTCAAACTCCTCCTGTTCTTCACAATTCTCCTCTGTAGGGACTGATAAAGCCACTGTGTGACGAAACGTTTCCTTATTAAAGATACCCAAGTGTTGCACATGTGTCTAATTTATCACACTTTATCTGGCTTCCTCGCTGACAGCCCCACCTTTGACGTAGACTCCCTCTTTGACTTTTTTGTCAGTGAGACCTTGATCACACCAACTTGATTACATTTTCCCTTTAGCGCTCCCATCTACCCATACTGACTCTACCTCTTGCATACTTCTAGCCCTCGCTGGTCTCTGATCTTCACATATTTAATTTTCAGCATATCCTGCCCTGCAGTACTGTGTGACCCTCGTGGGTTTAGCACTTAGTTTTGATTGTAATAATAATAATGATATTGTCTTGCCAGCTGGTTATCTCGTACTGAATTCCCCTACATCCGAATATCACAGAAAACTTATTTTTTGTATAGTAAGATATTCATATATTAAATTAATATTTTAAAATGAATACTTATTTGATTGTTGTATATAAAGTTGTCTATGAAGCATAATAGTTAAACAGCCCAGTAGGCTATGTATGAAGATTGAGACACTTATGCAGCATATGGGAATCTTTATTCAGGAAACGTTTCGCCACACAGTGGCTTCATCAGTCCAATACAAAGAGGAAGGCGTAAGGAGAGGAGGAGTATGAGGTAATCAGTCCCTCAGCCTGGAGTCGATGTGTTCAGTCTATCAATCTTGTAGAATGTACAGCATAGGGCCGTAGACGTGGCTTATATACTGTAGTGAGGTGACTTGAAGCAGACGGAGGCGGGATCATAGTGGTACCATCCACTAGTCGAAGTAGGTCTTTGTCCAAAGGTTGAACAAACGTTGAAGAATTCTTTGTAAGAAGATCCCATGATGCTGCAGTGTCTGACAGTTGTGATGAATGGTTTGAAAAACCGACAAGTTGAAGATTGAGACACTTATGCAGCATATGGGAATCTTTATTCAGGAAACGTTTCGCCACACAGTGGCTTCATCAGTCCAATACAAAGAGGAAGGCTATGTATGATTGAGGATAAGCGTCCTGCTGGAGAGAGACTGTTGTAAGAATCTGGCACTGCCGGGGTTTAGTCAAGGGGGCCCATATGACCTACTTGGAAACATATTGTTTCCATTTTGGTTTTGGAGGGAACTTTGTCTCCTTTCCTATTCCCACCCAGAATTGGGCAATACATTTTTCTCTTAAAGGGCAACACCACTACCGCCTCCCGCCATACGTTGACCCAGCGGGTGTATAAACAAGCAGACACTACTTCCTCAGTACAGCCGGTGAATAAGATCGTAGAAGCTAGGCTAGTGTGTGACTCGAGCTCTGGAAATATAACTAGGTATGTACAGCCTCAAATACTTATATACATACATGCCATCAATTATCACTGGCTTCAATCATCCGATTCATATCCTGAGGTCGCAAGTTGATGTCATTTGATGTAAACTATACAGAGAAGACTTAACGTTCTCCATGAATGTAATAATATAGCATCAGAAGCAGAAAATACCACAGTAAGCAACAGATTATAATGTATATCTTGCATATTGTACACTTGCTTTGTTAACTGCCACTACGTTATTGTAGTGAATTATTATCATGGTGAACACCATTTTCCTAAGATAAACATTTCTTATTCATAGGTTGTTTGTATAAATAACAATATTTATAATAATTTGTGTCTTCTAATCATTCCCAAGTTTATTATATGCATTATACCTCATTCTTTCATGTCTCGTTATCTCTAATATTCTGCTGTGTAATTTAGCAGTAAAAATAGATTAAATGAGAGAAAACCCTTTTTAACCTATAGTGACTCGTATAACAGGTAATTCCACAGAACTTAGTAATCGATCTTACAGAGCTAATATACCTATGAGTTTTTATCAGATGTACAAATAAGAGCTTGAGCTTCCTTGCTAATTGATTTTTTTTATTTTGCCATCGACGTGGCTAGTTTATTGTGCAGCCCATATCCATCCTGTGGAGGATAGCACAAGAGCATATGGATACACAAAAGGCCTAGGAACTAGGCCCTAAAAGGGTTAACAGGTGTACATTTGAATTTATATCTACAGTTCATTTATCTGTTACAAGCAAATATAGCTAAGAACTCCCAAAACATCATCTTTCCATAAATCATTGTAGACCATAAATAACAAGTATTAAATATTTTAAATAATAATGGTAAATCCGATATAAGTGTATTTACACATTGACAAACACAAAATAACCACATTTAGTTGATTTAGGGGTGAAGGGGGTGGGGAGTGTTCCCTCAACTTCCGAAGGCGCTCCCCAACTTCAGGGGTGGGGAACTGCACCCCAACTTCAGAGGGGCGATTAGTGAGGCGGCACCTCCCTAACTTCCCTTAAAGGGAATAAAGTCTTATGAGAACCAGCCTCACCAAATCCAAAGAAATACGATATACACGTGTATATAAATTTTACTAGCATTCATAAACAATGTCCATATTTGATTATATCTTTTACCTCAAGACCATTGTACAAATTTTTTTTGTTATATGTTAGTCTGATACCTTGTTATCACACACCCTGTACCCATCATATGGATGATAGTCATCCCTTACCCACTCTGTGGGCGGTCACCCCCATACACATCCTGAGGGCGGTAGTCACACAATATCTATCCTATGGACAGTTGTCACCACGCACCCATCTTGTGACCAGTTGTCACCTCCATTCCCATCCTGTGGCTGATAGTCACCCTGTACTCATTCTATGGGCGGTAAGTCACTCCATACCCATTCTATGGCCGATAGTCTTCTCATACCCATCCTGTGGGCGATCATTCCCATGTCCATCCTGCGGGAGGTAGTCATCACATACCCATCTCGTGGGCGGTTGTTACTCCCATACCCTTCCAGTGGGCGTTAGTCAAATAAGTAAGTTTATTCAGGTATACACAAATACAGTTACATAGATTTTATCATACATAGCAGCATATGTATAGAGAACCTGGGATAACACAAGAAAGTCAGATATGGCCAAACACTTAATTCTTAACGGTAATATGATCTATAATTCTAACTCCCCTCAAGGAAGGTTCCTTGATGTTGGTGAGGGGCTCTTGATTTAGGGAATTGGATCTGTGCTCCAGTTCCCCGAATTAAGCCTGAATGCCTTCCACATCCCCCCCCCAGGCGCTGTATAATCCTCCAGGTTTAGCGCTTCCCCCTTGATTATAATAATAATAATAATATAATTCTAACTTATGCGATACCGTCCACAAAATGAGGATAGGGTGCACAGTGTGCTGGGTAAACAAAATTTTAAGCGGAATAACTATGAATCCAACTGCCCAATAATCGCTTGTCTGGTTATGGGTTTATTTAGAAATTGACACTGTGTATTGAATTACTGATGTTCATATCCGGCGCTTATAATCCTCAGTTTAAGGTTCCTGCCCTGATTATAATAATAATTAATAATCAATTATGCGAAGCCGCCAAAACTGAGGATTAACGGCCGTGGGGGGATGTTAAGGCAACATGGCCAAATGGGAATAACTGGGCAGTTATTAGATTTTAACTGTTTATTATTTATTATACCCAATAAACATTGTTGGTCCTGGCTGTTATAAGTATTATAAAAGAGGCTAAATAGATTGCGCCTGGGGGGATTGGAACATTCAGGTTATTGAACTGGAGCACAGATCCAATTCCCTAAATCAAGAGCCCCTCACCAACATCAAGGAACCTTCCATAAGGGGCCCATGGCCTGAGCTCCAACATTTTGACATCGAAATCTATAAAAGAAAAATATCTTTATAGGATTATCCCGGATATTTTATACATGTTACTAAATAAGACAACTGCACAAACCTAAGCTTGCGTAAAAAAAAAAAATGAATAACATACTGATCACAATTACCGTAACTAATTTGGTCTCAATACAGCTTAGGCTATGAGAGCCCTTAATAACAACAAAAATAAAGCAAATGTTACTGATGTCCCGAGATAAATAAGTTGCTAGGTTATCCTAGGTTAAATCTATATAAGGCAATATTTCATGTGTCTGTGACATTCGTGTTCTCAAAGCCAATGTAAAAAAATGTATGGAAGGTAAGCAAAACTCCAGTAAACTCACTGCAGTACTTAAGATTTTATTTGATTTTCATACGTAACTTACTAAGATTTTGTTTCGAGTACATAACATATTAAGTTTTTGTTTTGCGTTCATAACATAGTAAGATTTTATTGTTTTGCATACCTAACATGTAAGATTTTATTTGGTTTGCATACATAACTTAGTAAGATTTTGTTTTGCGCACATCAGATACATTATTTACAATGGTTTTGAGAACACAGATATTGGGCATCCCAATGGAAATTATTCACTTTGTCTAACTTTTTTGCGTTATCCTAGGTAATTTACACTATGTACGATAATTGTACTTATGTGTATTGGTGCCTAAATAACTTTCAATAGTGCATTACGTAGATTTAACCTATATTAACTCAATTTCGTCAAAAATAATACATTTACCCCATCAAAGGAGGTGCCTTGATGCTGATGAAGTGCTCTTGATCCAAAGAACTTGAGCTACCCTTTCTTTGGATCGAATTTGATTGGCTTCTGTTCCTAAGGGCATGGTATGACCCCTAACGGTTTACTGCTCTTCCCCCTCATAAAGTGTGACATTTCCATTGGAACTTTAAATCTGCACTGGGGGCTAATGGTCTTTTTTTTTTGTACTTTTTAACATAGATGTGGTGTTGTTGAAAAACATAACCTGACTCGTGAAATCATAATAACATGATTGCAAACAAATCATGGAACTTCCCTATGGTGCATAGAAATATACCTATTTGGATGAATCTCATTAGAGCCAGCTGGCCAAGTGGTTAACTCACTGGCCTGTGAGTTTTAGGACTTGCCATGACAATCTGACTACATATGATTTTTACAGTGTTATAAATTTGTGCAAAGGTTTTTGGATGTTGCAGTTCTGAGGGTCATTTGAATTATGATGCTTGTGCCCTTCTTGCAAAACAACTATTGCATGAATGATGGTCAATATGTCTTCTTCTTTGGGTTATCCTACCCTGGTGGGAAATGTTCAGGATTTGAACATTAGGCAAGACTATGAAGTTTAACACATCTCTGGCTGAATGACTAATCACATCTTACCTCTTCACTGCTTATGCTGTCTCCATATTTGCCATCTCTATTCAACTGATGAAGCATACTGTGTTGGCTAATTTTTACTTATCTACTGGTTTAAAGTTTATTTTTAAGCCTTCACCTAAGACACTGGTATATTTTTTTATTATTCACAGGTAACAGATGTGTGGGAGAACATACATAAATTCATTAATATAAACTGGTTTATTTTGTGTGTGAAAGATGTGTAATTCTTTTGGTTTGGAAATAAAGATGTTTCACTATTCTACTATTCCTTATAATAATTTATATTTGTCAAGTGGTGACAATTATAGGTCTGAAGATTTAAAAAGGAATCTAAATGGCTTTGTTCTAAAATTTTGTTTAGTTTATTATGTATGCATATTTGAAATAGTGAGTAAGAAATCTGTATCTGAATTATGAAATGTAAACTTGTTCACTTCAGATTAAGCCATCCTACTGTGACTTAAGTAATTCACAGTAAATCTACAATTTGAAGTAGAAATCTTAAATAACATAACTTATGGTTCAAGATGAGGAGAAACACTGTCTTCAGCTTACACCCCAGTTTGTGGGATAGTTGTGAATAATTCACAGAAATAAAACAGAAATTTTGCCAACTCATTAATGCTTAGTCTAGCTGTTGCTCAAAAAATGGCCCAGACACCTCTTGAAGGACATGGGGGAACACTAGGGTCAGGGAAGACAGTTTGTTTCACTTAGTGGCTGCAGATTTTATAATGTTTTTATCTAACAAATATGTCACAGTAAATTTATTTTCATTCTGAAATCTTGTATTGATACAAAATAAATTGTTCAAAGATTTTTTTAAAAAATAAATATTTTCTTGTCTCATGATAATGGTGAGAGATTCACATTTAAAAATGTGAAGTGTGGTAAACATGCTTCATTGCATGAATTTATTAGTCATTAGTAATGACATGAATTTTTTCTAAGGTAATGTTTTTATTCTTTCAGTCTTCTGTTTCTGGGCGAGAATTCAAAGAATGAACTAGAAAACACACATAAAAGGCCATGCAAGAGGATAATCATTTGAGTATACCTTGTGCAGTATAAGAACTAAAAAAAGTGCCTTCCAGCAACACCAGCCAAGTCACAGTAAGAAGAGACCATTTATGTGATCTGTATGTGAAGCTAATTTTGCCACACCCTTGGTACTTAAACATATGACAACTTGCACTGGAGATAAGGTGTTAGAATGTACTGTACTGATTCTAAAACTCACTTGAGATGTGTTATTAGAATGTTCTGATTTTTAACTTCACACTGTGGAAACCTATTTGAAGGTGTTGATATGGAAACTCATACACAAGATAAGCCATATGAACGTGATGTATGTTCTGAGGTGTTCCAGTGTCTTGTGTGTGGAATTGGATTTAATGGAAAGTCCAAGTTGGAAATTCATACAAAAACTCACAAAACAAAAAACTATCTGGAGTGTGAGGTTTGTCAAAAAAAAGTTCTCGGTAGATATTCCATGAACCGACATAAACAAATTCATACAGGAGATAAACCTTGGAAATGCACAATCTGTGGAAAAAGGTTTATCACCATTTGGAGTCATAAGAGGCACATGAGAATTCACTCTGGAGAAAAACCATTTGAGTGCTCACTATGCTTGAAAAGGTTTTCAGAAAAAGGTTCTCACAAAAGACATATTGCATTGCATACAGAAACAAAACCTTTTAAGTGTTTCATTTGTGAGAGAACATTTTTTCTGAAAGCCAACCATGAGAGACATATGCGAACTCATACTGGAGAAGCGCCATATGAATGTTCAGTTTGTTCCAAAACATTTAAAGATAAATCAACATTAAATATCCATGAGGCTAATCATAAAGGAAATAAACCACATATTTGCTCAGTTTGTAGAGTAGGCTTTTGCACAAAGCATCAACTTACCAGACACATGCATGTTCATCAACAAAGATATGAGTGCTCGTTGTGCTTCAAAATGTTTACAGATGAAAGTCTTTTGAATTTGCATGAGAAAACTCATTCCAAGGAAAATATATTCACCTGTCCTCTGTGCAACAAGGGGTTTAGTTCACTTAAATGCATAAAACAGCACATGCTTTTACATTCAGAGGATAGGCCATATTCTTGCTCATTTTGTAACAAGAACTTTACATGGAAAAAATCGTATGTAAATCACTTGCCCAGCCACACTGGAGAGAAGCCCTTTTCGTGTTCTGTTTGTATGGAGGGCTTTGCAACTATAGGTATTCTTTCAAGGCATTTAGAAATACATATTAAAGGGTTGATTCATAAATGTTCATTGTGTACATTGGAATTTTTAAGCAGAACAAAATTTGAAAAACATGTGTATAATCACACAGGTCAACAGCCATTTGAATGTGCAGAATGTAAAAAAAAATTCATTACAAAGTTTGGACTGAGAAAACACTTGCATATCCACATACCATCGAAGTATATCTGTTCTGAGTGTGGTAAAAGCTTTGTAACTGAGAAAGGATTGAAAAGACACGAACAAAATAGTTTAAAAAATAGAGTATTTTGTTATGAATGCATTCATTGCAAGTGCACATTTAATTCCCTTCAACTTTTCAAGCAGCATATGCTTATTCATGATGATAAAATGGAACGATCTCTTGATTATATCTGGAACCAAAGGGAAAGTAATGCCAGCTCAGAATTTATATTGCCCGACAAAACATTGAAGGACATTTCTGGTAAGTGTAACATGCTTATTCATGACAAAACAGAAGGGGCCCTTGATTATATAGCAAACCATAGGGACAATATTACAAATCCTGAATTCATATTGCCTGACAAAATGTTAAGGGATAATTCTAATACATGTAACATCTTATGTGGGCCAGCCATAAATGAACAGAAGGAGATGGCTTGTACCCATATTACAGATGAAATTGTTGAAACTGATTTCTATAATGCATCTCTGTGGTCTGGCAGTTTAAAAGGTAATCCTTGTCGTAAAACTAAAAGATCATCAAATTCTGAAAATGTATTTCTTCAGTGTTCTTTCTGTATGAAACGTTTTTTATTTGAAAGCAAATTGTCTCGTCATCTCAGAACTCATACAGGAGAAAAGCATGACCAGTGCTCCTATTGCAAGAAAAGTTTTGTTGATAAGTATGTGCTAAAAAAGCACATGAAAATTCACACTGCAGAAAAGTTAACATGTGTATCGTGTAACAAGAAATTTTCAAACACTGCTTACTTTCAAGTACATCTGCGTATTCATTCTGGTGAAAAACCATATTCTTGCTCTTTATGTAATAAGGCATTTATAAGTAAAGATAGTCTGAAGAGACACAGGATGATTCATTCTGATGAAAAACAGTTTCACTGTAGTATATGCACTAAAAATTTTTTTAGATTAAATTTTCTTCAAAGACACATGCTGGTGCATAGTGAAGGGAGATTTAAGTGCTCTCTCTGCTCTAGACAATTCAAAGAGGAAAGATCACTGAGAAGACATAATTGTGATAAGCTTTATGAATGCTCGATTTGTAAAAAAAAGTATAGACACCCAAGCACATTGAAAATCCATTTCCAGTCACACAATAAAAAAACATCTTTTGAATGCTTACAGTGCAATTGTATATTTAGCACAAATTTTCAACTGGAACAACACATGACCACCCATGAACTGGAACAACACATGACCACCCATGAACTGGAACAACACATGACCACCCATGAACTGGAACAACACATTGACCACCCATGAAACTGAACAGAAAGATGAAGCTGCTAAGTTATTACAGTGTGTTAAAGTAGAATATGAAGAAACTACTGATGGGCTAAAGCAAAACATAATGAAACATGAAATAGGACATGAAAATATAGATGGTCAGAAGTTATTACAGTGTGTTGACTATGAAGAATCTAGTGATTGTCTAAAACAAAACCTAATAAAGCATGAAATGGGACATGAAGATACAGATGCTAAAAAGTTATCACAGTGTGTTAAAATAGAACATACAGGAAGTTTACCTGGAGAGTTTGACAGTGAGAGTGAGAAGGATGACAAAATAAATTTGGAAAGTTACCTAAAGATGAAATGTTAATTAAAACTATTTATATTAAAATAGAATGATAATGAAGTCACTAAGACATAAATACCCATATCTTGTACATTTACGTTCCTGAAAATGGCCAAACCAATACGAGTCATTGAACATAACATAGCAAGAGTAAAAGATTGTATTGTCTATAAATGTCAAAATGCCGTATTACTTTGAATTTGGTACAATATATATACATGTATAGGATTCTAACTTTAAGTTCTTAAAACAGAGAAATATCATATTGAAAATTTACTACTGTACTGTACTGTATATTGTAGCTTGCTAATCTTCTCTGAAAACTGATCCAGTATTATTATTATAATCAAAAAGGAGTGCATTGATCCAGTAGTAACCAACATATAATGTCATTTTAAGGTTTATCCTCCTGAGAAGCAATCTTCATAAAGTTAATCAGTGGGAAACTATTTTCTTTCTGATATTTAATGTACATAACTTCATTGTACATAACTTCATTGGGAGATTCTGAAGAGAAGCTGCAGAGATTGGTGGATGAATTTGGTAGGGTGTGCAAAAGAAGAAAATTAAAGGTGAATACAGGAAAGAGTAAGGTTATGAGGATAACAAAAAGATTAGGTGATGAAAGATTGAATATCAGATTGGAGGGAGAGAGTATGGAGGAGGTGAACGTATTCAGATATTTGGGAGTGGACTGTCAGCGGATGGGTCTATGAAAGATGAGGTGAATCATAGAATTGATGAGGGAAAAAGAGTGAGTGGTGCACTTAGGAGTCTGTGGAGACAAAGAACTTTGTCCTTGGAGGCAAAGAGGGGAATGTATGAGAGTATAGTTTTACCAACGCTCTTATATGGGTGTGAAGCGTGGGTGATGAATGTTGCAGCGAGGAGAAGGCTGGAGGCAGTGGAGATGTCATGTCTGAGGGCAATGTGTGGTGTGAATATAATGCAGAGAATTCGTAGTTTGGAAGTTAGGAGGAGGTGCGGGATTACCAAAACTGTTGTCCAGAGGGCGGAGGAAGGGTTGTTGAGGTGGTTCGGACATGTAGAGAGAATGGAGCGAAAGAGAATGACTTCAAGAGTGTATCAGTCTGTAGTGGAAGGAAGGCGGGGTAGGGGTCGGCCTAGGAAGGGTTGGAGGGAGGGGGTAAAGGAGGTTTTGTGTGCGAGGGGCTTGGACTTCCAGCAGGCATGCGTGAGCGTGTTTGATAGGAGTGAATGGAGACAAATGGTTTTTAATACTTGACGTGCTGTTGGAGTGTGAGCAAAGTAACATTTATGAAGGGATTCAGGGAAACCGGCAGGCCGGACTTGAGTCCTGGAGATGGGAAGTACAGTGCCTGCACTCTGAAGGAGGGGTGTTAATGTTGCAGTTTAAAAACTGTAGTGTAAAGCACCCTTCTGGCAAGACAGTGATGGAGTGAATGATGGTGAAAGTTTTTCTTTTTCGGGCCACCCTGCCTTGGTGGGAATCGGCCAGTGTGATAATAAAATAAAAAAAACTTCATTGTTAACTAATAACCAAATGTTTAAACATTAAAATAGCATACCTGTGATTGCAGTATTTTTGTTATTTAATATAAGGAAAGTTATTCAATATATGTAACTATTTTGCATTAAAGTGGAGAAATCTAATTTATTTTTAAATTATCATTTTGTGTAAAAGCTGCAAATTTTGTCTGTTGTAATAAAGTCATAAAAAGAATACTTCAGCTTTATCAGCTTGCTGATAAAGCTGAAGTATTAATTGTTAATGTTTATATTTTTAATGCAGCAAAAGATAGTATATATCTCTTAAGGGTTTAGTGCTTCCCAATTATTATTATAATAATAATAATAATAATATAATAATAATGAGTGTAAAACGAAAGCCTGTAATTGTTTTACATGATGGTAGGATTGCTGGTGGCCTTTTCTCTGTTTCATAAACATGTAAGATTTCAGGTACGTCTTGCTACTTCTACTTACACTTAGGTCACACTACACATGCATGTACAAACATATATATACACACCCAGCTGGGTTTTCTTCTATTTACTTACTAGTTCTTCTTTATTTCCTATTATCTCCATGGGTAAATGGAACAGAATTCTTCCTCTGTAAGCCATGCGTGTCGTAAGAGGCGATTAAAATGCCAGGAGCAAGGGGTTAGTAACCCCTTGCTCCTGGCATATTACTAAATGTATATATTACTAAAATGTATATATTACTAAATGTAAAAGGAGAAACTTTCACTTTTCCTTTTGGGCCACCCCGCCTCGGTGGGATACGGCCGGTGTGGTGAAAGGAAAGGAATAATAATAATATAAAGTTTTGATGCATTGAAACAAATGTGAGTTCTCTGGAATGGGTGACCACATTTTGAATCTTTTCCATATATTTCTTGGATCTTATTACTCATTTCTTACCAAAATCCTAGACACAGTATCAGGGAATTTTATTTTGCTAGTTAAGCTGTAAAAAAAAGTGAAGCGGTTATTACTTGCACTAATTTATTATTATTATTATTATGGGAAATACTAAGTCTGTAAGAGTCGCACACCTCTTGAAAAAAGAGAGGCAATCAGATTTTCTCCAGTTACTTGGATCATTACCCCTTCACCAGTATCAAGGCTCTCCTTTGAAAGGACTAGTGTACTTGCAGACAGAAATACAGACCTCATGTACTCATCAAGCATATCAGCACTGTATGATCCATATGGGTTTAGAGCTTTTTTATTAACAAACCCTTCAAGGTGGTGTCTTGATGCTGATGGAATGCCCTTGATCCAACAAATTAGTTACCCTCCTGTTCCTTGGATCAACCCTGATTAGCTCCCATCCTGCAGTGTACAGCTAGCCCTCCACTTTCGTGAGTTCCACTTTCGCGAGCTTCGAACATTTGCGAATGCCCAGTTGTGTGGCGAGTGTTTTATTTGTTCATTATTTATTATTAAACCATAACATGTATATACAATATTTTACAATGTTTTCATGTGTTTTATGATTTTTTGTGGTTCAATAGGTTAAAGAAGCAGCAGTATTGTTAGACTAAGTAAATGCTCTTATTATATTTCCCTACAATATATTTGTTCATCAAAACATTCGTGAATGCTACAATACAGTATTATATTTCCCTACATCATATTTGTGCACCAAACATTCGCGAATTTTCAAGATTTGCGAGGTTCTTGATCCCCTAACCCTCACAGATGTGGAGGGCCTCCTGTATTACCCCTCCAATGAATATATTATTATAATATAATTAAACAGTACTAGTAATAATAAGAACACACAAATAGGAGGAGGAAAGAAAAAATGAGACATGAAAAAATTGTCTTTATTGAAAGATAAGGTGAAAATAAAACCTCAGAGGCAAGGAGGGTTTTCTTCTTTCACAAAGTACTATAGTGAGTTCCCCTGTTTTACCCAATACAGTAGTGGGTTCCCTGCTTTTACACAATACAACATAGGGTTTCCTTATTTCACCCAGTGTAGAAGTGTTTTTATTCAAAAAGAGGTTAACCAATCTATTATTTATAATCCAGAACTAAGTTTTTATTGGTATTTATGCTTACCAGTGCTTTTATGGAATACAGTGTTAAAAATAAATACCTGGTACCTTTATTAATATATTTTTATTGTATCTGTTTTTCAGTACACTGTATGCTAAATATAAAAAATGCATCATACAAAGATACTGACTCGTCTGTCATAGCAGCTGGAAATCCTGCAAAGTACTGTGTTGTTTGCCATGTTAAGTTTGATTCTGTTTTTATTTGATATGCAAAACTTTCAGATTTTGTCCTAGAACATAGATTCCGTGTATCTTACTAATTAATATGGTGAATGCTCATTTTCCATGGAAAACTTTACATATTTAGAGCTATATTTTTTCTATCTATCTAATATTTGCAGTTTACACCATTTAGTTATATGTGTTTTAGTACTAGGATAAATAAATAATTTATAAGATAAGCTTATGAAAAGTAATTAAGTACAAAAATGTATAGTAGGAAATGAATGTGCAAATGCATTCATAATGATGTCATATATAAAAGGTTTCATCTTTTCCATGTTTGCAACATATTAAGATGGTCATCATTTAAGTCTCTTATCCCTGTCATAAAGTATTATTAATGATGTTATGATATAAAAAGGTTTCATGTTTTTCATGTTTGTCAACACATTCAGATGGCCATTATTAAGTTTATAATTCATTGTGTCGATATAAAAGGTTTTATCATTTTCATGTTTGTTGGCATATTAAAGATATTAATGTTTTAGAGCATAAGAATATGTAAATTCACTAAAATACATGTGATATGAAAAACATTAGATACACATTACTGTACAATCTTTCTTTACTGAAATATTGTAAAAACTAATTCTCTAACCTATTTGTTGTTTATATGAAGCTTTCTTGTTAATGTAGTCATTGTTATGTATTGTTCAATAAAGTACTTTTTATTCAAATGTATGGACAGTATCGCCCTACTTTATTCACAGCTTGATTGGGAGAAGCAATATTTAAAAGTTTTTGGCAAGAACTGAACAATTTGGGTCTGTTTTACAAGACTTAATGGTAATTCTACATGAAATGACTAATACACTGTGCACAGCCACATTTTTGTGGTGGAGGAATTGTAATTATTATTATTATTATTATAATCAAAAAAGAAGTGCGGAGGAATTGTAAGCTTCATAGATGCTGTGAGCTGTACAAGCAGGGGCTTTCCCTGCCAGTGAAGTCCCATCTGCAGAGGCTAACAACTGCCCAAGTGTATATTCTGTGCATGGCAGTCCTTCCAGAGAGGAACCCCTCAAGGAAGGCTCCTTGATGTTGGTGAGGGGCTCTTGATTTAGGGAATTGGATCTGTGCTCCAGTTCCCCGAATTAAGCCTGAATGCCTTCCACATCCCCCCCCCCAGGCGCTGTATAATCCTCCGGGTTTAGCGCTTCCCCCTTGATTATAATAATAATAATCCAGAGAGGAAGCTAACAGCCAGTACTTGATTAATGTCCCTCAAGGGAGGCAGGTGCCTTTAAGCCAGTGAAGGGCTCTTGATCTAAGAAACTGAAGTTATGCTGTATTTCTTGGACTGAACCTGAACACTTCCCATTCCCAAGGAGCTATATGACCACAGTGGATTGGGCCATTCCCCTTGATTAAAACAAAATATATGGTATCCAGGGACAGCACTCACCTCATGAGGGTCATATAATGTTGCATGATAGAGGTGATGAAGATGATGGGAGAGTGGGGGAGAAAAGATGGTGATGAGGGAATTCAAATTCTTTATTTCAGCATGATACAGCTGTAGGTTTAGCCCTTTTTTATTATAATAATAATAATAATAATCAGCATGATACAATATTTGTACAGAGATGGGTGACATTTAGGTGTACACGCAGAAAGCCCTTAGTATGCAGAGCATTTCGGGCAAACTAAAACCTATCATAAAACCAATAAGGCAATAATTAGTTGATTCATATGTACATGATCTCAAATGGTTTTAACAGTAAACGCTTTTATCATATTGAACTGTCTTAAGGATTTTAGGCTGGCTTATGAATACAGTTAATGAGGATTCTTGCATATTAGATGGGTATCACTGAATGGATTGGGGTCACAAATGATAAATTGGTGTCAATAAATCAGAGTCTGCAGTATTATTACATCCATGGGAAGTTGCTGAGATGATATAATTCCCGGCAGTTTATTCTATGGTGTTGGTAGTAGCAATTAATGAGGTTTCTATACTGATACCTGTTCCTGTTTAGTACATACTCATGTTGATGGAGAATTTGTAAAGCATATAATACTAGTGATTTTGCAATTTTCAAACCAGATAACACAAACTTCAATGACAAATAATAAGTAAATGTATTCCTATATCCTGCAACACAAAGGAGAAATGTATTCAGAGCATTACTGATGTCGCAAACTAGACATGCTTTGATTGCTGCAGTCTGAGAGGAAGCCCCTGTACTTCAAATGCCTGCCCATAATGCTCTGCATACAAAGGGCTTTTGGCATGTTCACCCAACTACTTTAATTCATTGTACAACTATGTATCATATCCAAATAAAATATATGAATACGTATATGAAATTTAGGAGGCCTAGGAACTTCCGCTCAACTCCTTCATCCCTTGAGGGGCTCTTGATCCAAAGAATTGGACCCATCCTCCCCTTGAATTGAATTATCGCTTCCTATTCCCTAGACATTGTATGACTTGTGGGTTTAGCACTTCTCCATAAATATAAAAATAAATAATTTCCTTGCTGATGGTTCTTTCTAAGTGTTGGTTGGTTGGTTTTATCTGGTGTTGGTGGCTCGCTGAGTGTTCACTCAAGTGAGTGTGACCCCTCAAGGAAGGTTCCTTGATGTTGGTGAGGGGCTCTTGATTTAGGGAATTGGATCTGTGCTCCAGTTCCCCGAATTAAGCCTGAATGCCTTCCACATCCCCCCCCCCTAGGCGCTGTATAATCCTCCGGGTTTAGCGCTTCCCCCTTGATTATAATAATCAAGTGAGTGTGTATCAACTCTTTAACAGGACTTTTGCGCCAGTCATCGTTGAGTGCGGACGTCTCGCTCTTGCTTGAGTATCAGTGACAGATTTCCCCCATTCTCTCTGGGATAATTGTCCTCATTTAGTTTGACCGCCGGTCACTCTCAGGACTCGGTTCTAGCCGACCCCCCCTCAAGGAAGGTTCCTTGATGTTGGTGAGGGGCTCTTGATTTAGGGAATTGGATCTGTGCTCCAGTTCCCCGAATTAAGCCTGAATGTCTTCCACATCTCCCCCCCAGGCGCTGTATAATCCTCCGGGTTTAGCGCTTCCCCCTTGATTATAATAATCTAGCCGACCCTCAAAGGAGGTTTCTTGACGCTGGTGAAGGGTTCTTGATCTAGGGAATTGGATCAGTGCTCCAGTTCCCTGAATACCTTTCATCCCCCTCCCCTACAGGCACTATATAAGTCTATGGATTTAGCGCTCCCCGGTGGCCTGGTGGCTAAAGCTCCCGCTTCACACACGGAGGGCCCGGGTTCGATTCCCGGCGGGTGGAAATATTTCGACACGTTTCCTTACACCTGTTGTCCTGTTCACCTAGCAGCAAATAGGTACCTGGGTGTTAGTCGACTGGTGTGGGTCGCATCCTGGGGGACAAGATTAAGGACCCCAATGGAAATAAGTTAGACAGTCCTCGATGACGCACTGACTTTCTTGGGTTATCCTGGGTGGCTAACCCTCCGGGGTTAAAAATCCGAACGAAATCTTATCTTAATTCCAGCCAGGTCCATTTTTCCGCTCTGCAAACATTTCTTTTACGGTTTTTGGTGGGTAGCCGGTTGCTGAACTCAGGTGAGGGTGACTCGTTCTGCTGGGGATTGAAGGTGGTCCACCTGATCTACTTGGGAACTTCTTGTGTCTGTTTTTATTTATAAAGGAATTCCTGTTCCCTTTTCTTTCATAGCTCAGCTGTGGACAACGTATCTTCTCCGTACATGAGGAAGCAGGAATGATACTGCTTAAGTTGTCACTGGTCCTTACAAACCCGACCAGAACACCATTGTATTATGGCTCAAAGATTATTTTATCCTACTCTTCGAAATTCTTTAAGGGTAAGTTTATTTAGCTACAGGTACACACACCCTGTATAGTCCTTGTGGCTTAGCGCTTCTTTTTGATTATAATAATAATAATACAGGTACACACAGATACAATTATCATATATAATGTAAATTACCAACGATAATCCAAAATGTTGACTATTTATTTCATTGTTTTGGTATTTCCATTGGGGTGAGTAGTTCTTTTTTTAAAATTGTTCGTTCCCATGGAGGTTCTTGATATAGGTGGGTTTGGGGGGTTTGATCCAAGGAATTATACCTGGCCTTCTTTTATTGGCCCTTTTGGGGTTTAGGCTTATTTTGATTATTTTTAATCCCCTTTCCCTTGGATAAAACCTGGGGGCCAAAGTTCAATTTGCACACTGCCATAAAAAAAGTACAGGGTGAGGATATGAGGGAAGTGTAAAAATAGACTATAAAGCAGGGTTGCCTAAGCACGGTAAGAAAAATTTATTTGGTATAGGTACCATGAGTACAAAACATCATTACTAGGTAAAATTTTAGGATAACCCAAAAAAGCGGACTTATATCCTTGGGGTCCTTGATAACCAACATTGTGGTCCCAAAACCCCTTTTAAGGGAGGTTCCTTTATGGGTGAGGGGCTCTTGTCTAGGGAATGGTCTGTGCTTCCCGTTCCCCGAATGCCCCCATCCCCCCCCACGGTGCTGTATAATTCTATGGGTTGTAGGCTCCCCCAGATTTTAATATATAATAATAAAATGGCCAAGATGTTCAACCTGCTTGCAGCAAAATCAGAAATTCAAAATTCAAAATTTTATTTTTTGATTTATGTAATAAAATATTGTGTCACAAAAAAAGAAAGCAGCATGAGCATTTTTTCGCGATAACCCCAATGCTCACACACACTTAAAACTAGACATAGGTTATGGAGTGGTAAATGTCAATGAAATTTTTTAAGTAGAGTTTTCAAAAAGGAAAAAATGAGTATTGCCCAAATCAGATCAAACCCCAAACCGATGATGGCTATGTGGGGGGGCCCCTAAAGGGAAAGGGTTTCCCTTGATGTTGGTGGGGGGGCTCTTGATTTGGGGAAATTGGGAAACTGTGCCCCGGGTTCCCCCAAATTTAAACCCTGAATGCCTTCCAACCCCCCCCAGGGCTGTTTTTAATCCCCCGGGTTTAGCGTTTTCCCCCTTGATTGTAAAAATTTAATAATATGTGGGAGGGGGGCAAAATGAAACCAGCAAAAAGCCCGGTTTTTTTGAACAGGAAAAGAAACAAAAAAAACCTGGGCCCCAAGCTGGGCCCCAAAGGGGGTAAAAAAAACTAAAAAACTGGTCACACCCATGCCCTTGTATTTTAAATTTGTTCCGGGGAAAAATTCCCCCCCCAAAGCCAGTTATCCTTTAAACGGGGATTTGAAAACAGTAGGGATTTTTAAAACTGGTCATGGTTGTAAAAGGGAAACCCTCGGATTTTGGTTTGTAATTTTTTCCCAGAATTTTCTGCCGTAATCCGTCCAAAAAGGTCGGCCCCAAAACCCGAAAAGGGAAAAAAACAGAAGTAATATTTCCCAGAGGAATTAATGTAAATACATTTAAAACCCTTTCCCAAAAACACCCAAAATATTAGCAAAAAATCCCTTTTTTTTTTAAAGATTAACTATAGTTTTACATACAAAAAAAAAATGAGAACTAAATGAAAATGACAAAAATGAAAGGGAAATAAATAAAACATTTAACATCACTTTTTACCTTTATTGAAGATTTTTGGGTTGGTGTAGGGGAAGACAAGGGGGGGGAGACTTGGGGGGCTGATTTTTTTTTTGGGAAAGGGGGAATCTGCTCCATAAGGACTTCGGGTTTATTTAGTCCCTTCTGGAGTTATTCCCTTTTTGTTTTTTAAACGGGGCAA